TGTTCATGGATGGGAAAAACATTCCAGTTTAAATTCTTTGTGGTATAATTCATGATTAATTAGTATCATTGATTGAATAAAGAATTTAAATGGCTTTTGATCATATTGGAATCTAATTAAAACACTTAGGAACCCTAGGGTTGAAGAATAGTTCGTCAGAAAATCGCCGGACGTGGAAGAGATGAAGAACAGAGAAGAGACGGCTCAAGATTTCAAAAAGCGGGCTCTTTGGAAACAAAGAGCAGGCTCTTAAAATCAAAGAGCTGGCTTTTAGGGGACTTGGAGCCGGCTCCAAGACTAGGAGAGCCGTCTCCTAGCAAAGAAGAGCAGGCTCTTTCAGTTGGGTTCCATTTTTTGGTTTTTCTGCGACCTGTTTGGCTACGGAACTTGGATTTTGGGATTTTTAGATTTTGGAGGAAGCTATACTTGGGTATATTGAGGTGTTCTAAGTCTTATTAACCCTTCAGAGAGTGGATTAATGAAAAATAAATCAATGGATGCTCGGGCTTGAACTGTAGACAATTGTTTATTAAACTAGTTTACTGTTTTTGGATGGAAAGGATTTTAAAATTTCTTAAAATCTTAAATAGAAATTCTTTGAGTAAATTTCTCTGTTAATCAAGTTCTTATGATATTAAATAAGCGTGTGAATATTTATATTATAATATGCTTATTTGTATTTAAAGCGGTTTACTGTTTCTGGATGGATAGTACTTTAAATTGCTTAAATCTTAGGATAGCAATTCTTAGTAATGGTTTGACAGTTAATTATGTTACAGTGTTATAAAACTAAGCATGTGAACTCTTATATTCTATTATGCTTGCTTGGAGGTAATTGGTTTACATGTATAATCTGTAAAATCAATTAATATATTGTGCGGAGTGGTTTTGATCAAGACTGTTAATTTACGAAATTTTAGCAGACTTGATATGGAACAATTGATGCTTATGTTTTAATATTTCTATTATCAATTGTGGATTTGATGGATTAGTTGATAGTTATAATTGTTATTTGTTCTATCAACTGCTGGATGGATTGGATTGTATGCATCGGTATAGGACGATGACATAGTAGGTTTGGATTAGCCCAAATTGCTAAATCCTACCTATTTTGGAATAAGGGTACGGATTATAAAAACATAATTCTCCTTCTATTTAAGTCTGTGTGGTTGAATAAGCTGAACGACTTACTGGATCTCTTATATAAGTCTGTGCGGTTGAATAAGCTGAACGACTTACTGGATTTCCTATAGATGGATAGAAACGGATTTTAAATATATTATTATGATACCGTGACTTGAGATTGAGTGTCAGAGTCAACGGTTAGGGAGCGTATATGTAATAGGACGCGTAACTGATTATGCTGGTTGAGGTGTACCCTGTTAGGCTTAGGTAGTCATGCCCACTCAGATGCGTTTTGCATGTTACCTTCTACTCAGGTTAAAACCAGTATCATAGTCCAGTGAGAGTCCATAGTGTGGATATATATATATATATAGACACAGATTATATAGTTATTGTTGAGTTGGTTAGAGTGTATATGTATATCGAGTCTCTGCTTGGATTGTAGTAGGATAGAACTTGTTCGTGGGCCTGACCCACTCCTATTTTTCAGGTGTACGTCAGTTCCAGGCTTGAGCTTGTTCGTGATGAGCAGAGGCGACCACTCATTCTTCCGACGACGTAGGAGCTCTATTCATATGGTTTTCTTTTAGTTTTTCAGTTCAGTTTGGTTTTCTTATTAGGGGTCCACATGATGGATTCCCGAGTTGTACCCTTGGAGGTTTTGGAGTTGGATTATTATTATCTGGGATTTTAAGTATTTAATTTTAAAGGATTTTATATTTTAGATTTCTTTCAGCTTAAATTATTATTTCTTAAATTCATCTTGTATTCTGTGTTCACTTTAAAATATTAATTGTTTGATATTCCCTTGGGTTTGGGTCTGGGCTTGATCAACTCGTGTCTCGGATCCGAGTGGTATCACAAAATGCGTCACATTTGAGCACTCATCATCTTGCGTAGTAGTATAGAGTAGACCGATGTCCGTTTTGAGTTGGGTGTAGGCCTAGTTGGTCTTGTGTTCTGATGTCGTGAGTAATGAGTACCCTCATAGGGTGGTGAACATTGTGTTTTTATGACAATGTGTGTGATTGCCTGGTAACGTCCGGTGTCAAAGATAATAATGCTGGTGAGTTCATAATTTTGGGGTTTTGTGAGGTTTTCTCGGGAAGGTGTGTGGTTGTAGGTCTCCTCCTTTAAGGAAGGTAGATTTCGAGGACGAAATCTTTTAAGGAGGGTAGATTGTAATGGTTATATGTATGTGCATGTGGTAGAAATAAAAATTAAAAAGAAAAGAAAAGATTTTTTATTAGGTAGGACCCACATGTTGCATTTTGTGACCTTAAAGTCATTTTTGGCTTATCAATTCTCATTCTTTTTCTCTCCTTTACACTAGAATCTCTCTCTTCCTCAAATTTTCTTTTTCTTTTCTCTTTTCTACACAAGCTTCAAATCATGATTTCTCTCTCATTTTTGAGAGATTTTTGATGCCGTTTGCGGCAAATTAAAGAGCGCGTTGAGATCTATGATTTGATCGGAGCAATTCTTTGTTTGGTACACTTGGAAATTTCAAAATTTAGGGTTTGGATTGGGCTCAATTTGGGGGTTTTGCTTCCTTTTGAGGTAGGGGTCTCTAATACCCACATTCTTTGATTTTTGTGAATTTTCTCCTTAAAAATTGGGCTATAGCATGTTTAATTTAATGAAAATTGTTTATGCTTATATGAGTCTTGTGTATTTAATTATGATAATTGTATATCATGTGATAATTGACCATATGTGTATTGTTTATTTGAATTGTATGAGATGACATGCTAAAGTTGAATTTATATGCTTGAATTTCATGTGTAATTACATGACTCTATGTGTTATTAATGTATGTGACTATGTTGATGATTATCGTGTTGTGAAAAAACATGTTTTAAGTGATTTTGCTACATGCCTTGTGTATTTAAATTACCGTAATTATAATGTGAAAGTATGGTACATGTATTACACAAATTCCTCTTAAGTATGATATGTGGTTTAAATGTGAATATGTGAAGAATTATGGCATGGAAAGGCATGATGCATTCATACATGACATTGGACATGAAAAAGGAAAAAAATTGAGTTGAAATGGAAAATTATTTTTGAAAGAAATAAAACTCGGTCGCTTAAGAGATTGCCTATGGGTCCGTAGCGTTAATGTGACCTAGAGAGAACTAGGGAGACTGTCTTAGCATGGTTGAGTTAACTAGGTCCCAAATGACGCCCTGAAACTTACCTTGTGGTCAGGGACAGTTAGCCAATCCTTCTCTCGTGCCGCCATGGGACGGGTTGCATTAACGATTTGGAAATGATAACAGAAATGGTTTTGGTAAAATTGGGGAGCGACATTGCATTCCATTGCACTGCATAATTTAATTATGACTTGGATTATCGAATTTGTTGCTATGTTTACCCCGGTATGGTATGATCTCGCTTCTTTATTTTTTTATTGATTATGTGCATTCACGGAGTCACAAGAGGTGTGTCTTAGGCATCACCTACTGAGCAATTTGCTCACCCCTTATATTTATCATTTTTCAGGACATGGAAGGGAAGTGACGGACGACGCTCCTCCATAGGGTTCGATAGGTTAGTAGACCGTTTAGACATACCTTGTATCTATGATATCATTTTATTATTATTTATTTATTTATTTATTATTATTATTATTTTATAAACCCTGTGATGATATGTATATTATGTATTGACATAGGAAATGACGGTAGTGTCCTTAGTTGACCTCGGGTTCGGGTAAGGACCCGATTAGCGATTTGGACCCTCGGGTTTGGGTCATTACAGTGATCTTTATAAATAAAATCATACATTGGTGGATATTGGGATTTGGATTGAAGGAAAATATTTTTTGGATTATTATTTATTTATTTTTAATAGGTTAAATAACTGTTTAAAATGGAATTGAGGTTTAAATGAGTTTTCTCTTAAAAAGGGAATGTACTTGATGGTTAGTTTAGCTATGGATGTAGTTTTATCATTGTTCATGGTCTTTGATTTCAAGGAATATATTAATGAGCATGTTCTTTATATATTTATATATATAATATATATGTATCATCTTATATTAAAGGTTAAAACATTAATTCGGATGATTTTGGTTAGAGATGTTTTATTTATCGGTTTTCATAGGTTTGGTAGAGGGAGCTTGCTCGTGTGTTTAACCCATCCTTTATTTTTTCAGGTTATTATAAGTTCCAGTCTCGAGGTTGAGAATTCGCAGTTTGGAGACTTGTCTTTCATCTACTCCTTTCATCTACTTCTAAGTAGTGTTGACATTTAATAGTTAGCTAATAATTTATTTATGTATAAACTGATGGATTAGTAGTTTTGGTTTAGAGGTCCTTGACTTACAGGATTCCCAAGTTGTATTCTAGAGATCTACATTTATGGATTTTATTTTGTAAAGAAAGTTTTATTTTATCAATATAATTTCTTTCAGCAAATTAATTATTCTTTTTATTCTTCTTGTATTCCGTATTCGTTTATTGCCATATTGTTTTTGATATTCCCATATTTTCGAGTGTTCGTTTATTATCATATTGTTTTTTATATCCCCATATTTTTGAGTGTAGGCCTGGCCAACCCATACGTGAAAATTCGGAGGTATCACAATAAATAAAATAAAGTACACAGTACTAAGAATTGACTAACTACTTTGCCTGCTTAGTAGTTGTATGAATTAGCAAATGCTATTAGTAAATCAAACTAAGTGCTTACTCTAGCACAAAATCTTAGTTCTTCAAAGAATTCCTATAAATAGGCCTTGATTTACAGAGTCATTAGGTACCTTCAAAGTCATTTACACTCTATTATTTTGGAGACATGATGGACTATATCTAAAAGCTGTCAAGGAAACATTGTAGAATAGTGTAAATACTAGGAAACCATAATAATTTGTGTTCTAGTCAATCAGTATCCATTTCAAGATTTATTTAGTTCAAGCCAACTTCAAGATAACTTATTTTTTCTCTAAACATAGTATAAGTTCTCATGAGGAAAATAGAAAAAGTAAAAGATCGCACTGTAGTATGTTACCCTGATGATCGAGGAGGCCAAGAACATCCACAACTCACATTACTTGCGCTTCAGAGCAAGAAACAGTAGGGAATTTAGTGTGCTGCTCAGGTCCAGCAGGCGGGAAAACTCAGCTGGACTTTTTTGGAAAGCCCTTTCAAACATTTCATCAACAATTTCACGCCCAAAATGTTTGGTGAAAACCCCTTCCATGCCGGCTCTTAGGTGCATTATTAAAGTCTGTGCATCAATTGCAATGTCCGTGTTTGACCTGGGTCTCATCATCTCCATTCTCTCAATACTGAAACACGCGTTTCGTTCTACCAGCGGTGCCATCTCGTTGGGGGATGGAAAATACACAGGCAAGTTGAATGAATCCACTTCAGCTTCACCGACTAATCCCTATAAATATATGACGCAAATATGATCAAATGCAAGTTGCAACACGAGCTTTCAGAAATGGGAAGAGATTCAGGATGCAATGCTATAGAATTTAAAATAAATTACTCTTTTTTTTTGCTTTATGAATTTTTATTTATTTATTATATTGCAAGATAGATTTCAAGTTAGATTTCATTGCTTTTGTTAACTGGCTTTAATTTGAACAGTGGAACATTGACTTACGGCATTGACCATATCCATGAGGCAGGACCCAAGAAAATCATATAATAGACATGCTAAGACCTGAGAATGATGAATATCATCTTGGTGACCAGGCAAGATTAGTACCATCATCCCTCCAACCACAGTCTCTTTAGCCCTAGCATTCAGAAAGATCTCCATGTCCTTTTCAAATTGAGCTGCGTAAGCATTGGCAACTTCCTCTTTGGCACATGCGTAGTGAATTCTTGCCTTATTCCACGCGCGAGAGTTTTCATCCAGCAACTCTTCAGGAACCTTAGTGAGCCACTGGAGTGCATAAGAGGAATGCACAAAATGGAGAGAGGATTCCGGGAATAACCGACCATGGAAGGAGCCTGGCACCCCAGTAGCAAAGTATTGCCTATCTGGAGGGAGAGAGCTGAAAAGAGTATTGAAATCATTGGAAGCATGGTCATTGAAGAACACATGAAATTCCGGCATTTTAGAACCGAGGCCTTGAGAATGGTAATTTTTTTCCATGGTTTCCAGTACATTCTGCATAGCCACGAAGGTATTTGGCCCGACTGAACATCCCAAATCTGCTATGCGCAATGTGTTTGAAGTAGAAGTGAGGCTTTTTACATCAAGCTTCTCTGCAATTGCTGCTTTCATTATTTCGCTCACAAAATTTGTTGCGTCTCTCTGTAAATTAGGCCAGTAAAAGTTGCCATCATCATCGTCACTACTTCGTAAATTACAAGTCCAGTCTACTATTTGCATAGTTTAAAAACTCGATGCAACTTGGAAAGAAAGCTAAAAAGACTAATATTATTTCATGTCTCTATAGTAAAATGGATTAGTATGGCACAAATGGATTAATGGAATAATGGAGGGGTAAATATGTGATGAATGAATAAGTCAAAAGAAAAAAAAAAATAGAAAAAAAGGAGTGTTCTGTTTATGCTCTAGTTTTCAAAAATATACAAATAATATTAAGAAATGTAGTTTGGCATAATTACAACAACGCTCATAGAAAAATAGAGTACAAAAAGGGCCTCTCATTTGTAAATATTTGGGTAATTTTTTTTCAATAATCGGAGTGTTCGGATTTTTGTCTTAACTAATTCACGCGACCGTGTAAAGCAACCCCTCCCCCAACACGGATAGGATAAAGCTCAAACTAACTAGAAAATAACTCCATATATGAAATTACAATAGCTATGTGGAAAAACAAATTCTAAAGCTTAAAAAGTAATAAATGACATTTCAATTTAGAAAAGGCTATTATTCACCTTTACACTTCACTTTGGAATAATTAATCCATTTTCCAATAAAAATTACAGTGTGAGAACGCTTCTTTATTGTGAATATCGCATATTACTCTATAATCTCGCATTTCTATGTGATTTTCAGTCATTGTTGGAAATCCTAGTCTTGGAATTAAAAATTAAGGGGAATTTTAGGACGTATCCGTACAGTGTATGTTGAGGTTGTGGAATTTGAATCACAAGCCCAGTTTATATTGGAGGCTATCATTTATACCTTGGATGCCCTTTTTATTTAAGTCCACATATTTTTCTGTGTAGTGTGGTTTATGTAATGAGAGAGCAATTGTAGAATTGTGTGAGCTTTCTGTGGTAAACACCCATTGTTAATAGTAATTCTGGTGCCCTCTGTTGAGGTAGGCAAAAATATTGCCCAACCGCATAAATCTTTCTTTGTGTTTCGTGTGTGATTGTTTTTCTATTCCCAACAATGTATTGCCTTCAATGGGATCACATTGTATATTTGTGTACATATATCCCATTCCTATGGGATCATATATTTGTTTCCCTCTAATTTTCATTGCTCTACTTTGGATGAAGGAAAAATAATATTACTTAAAGTAGAATTGGCGAACTCCACAGGTTTGTGGATGTATAAAATTTGATGTATCAATCTCTCTCTGTGTTTCTGTGTTTATACATGTATAGATTATACACACAATACATATATACATTTATATATATCTATGTATATGTATAGATATGCAAAACATGTAAGGTACCTGATAGTTAGAGTTCTTGGTGTAGCTGTAAGTATCATCTCCACCATTCATTGGATATGCTTCTGGCGCCATTTCTATTTCCTCGCTGCTAATCTCTCTCTCTCTCTCTCTCAAATTCAGGTCCGACTTCAGAGCCCTTTGCTTTACAGCTTTTTTTCATCTGTCTCTGTCTAACATTTGGTCTCTAGTCACCTGAACAGAAGTCAAGTCTACTTTGCCGGCTTCATGTTAAACGTTGAAGATTATCTCACTATTTTATTGTCCCACCTCAACTCCACTGATGCTCATTAGTCAAATTTTGCAACTCTACGCTAAGTCAACGTCTCTAGAAGCTGATGTAATAAAAAAACAAAATGTAATTCTTATTTTACCATTCAAGTGTGTAGCGAGCCTTTATAACCACAGGGACAAAGATCCTTTCTATTTTACAGTAATCTATTTTTTTTCATTTTTATGAGTAAAAGTACATTTCAACATTTTTATAAGGTGCATATCAATATTTTTCTATAATGCATACTAATATTTTTCTTCTATGCATTCCAAACATGGGTGACGTAGTCATTTCTGAACTACTCATTTTAAAATGAAAAAAATGGCACATTATTTCAATAGACACAGGATTTCCGTCATTGTTGTGAAATGACATACTTAACTTTATGTTAATATAAAATAAAGATGAAAATGCCCTTTCTACCCAACTTCATCTATTTTTGCACTAAGCTACTTTTGTTTTTCAAATTTCGTTTATTTCCTTTTGAGAGAATCAAATTAGAAATCAGTACTTCCGTGTTATGAATTTAACCTTCTTGCATTTGAACTTATAAGAAATAAACAATCACATCAGTGTGGACGCACTCAGGATAAATTTGATAATTTATTCACTCTTAATATAATATAAATTATAAAAATCGTCATCTTAAAAAAGTAGACTCCCAAAAAGGGACATTTAAAATGGGATACATGGAGTATTAGATAACTAATAAATTGTAAGTACACAATAAATAAATCTCATTAATAAATAATTAATAATTTAATTATAAGGAGACTATATTCCCTGTTCACTTTTCTACATTTGCACTCCACTTGCTTTTTTCTTATAAATAAAATAACAACAAAAGTCCCTAAACTCGTTAATGCACCATCTCTAATTTTAAAATACCATAATAGTCCTTTATACTATAAACTTTAAATTTTTTTTACCTTTTTTTTTATTTTTTATCTTGTCAAGATAGATAATTATTCAATTGATATAAAATTTTTTTTCTTTTCAGGTTCTTTGTTGTTTTTGTATTTTTTGTATTTTTTAGTCCTATCAAAATAGATAATTTATTCAAGAGATAATTTTTTTTGTTCCACTTTTTCTTTTTCTTTTTTTTTTGGCTACTATCAAATCAGATAATTTATTTATACATTTTTTTTAATTTTTGGACCCAGGGCTGTCAAAAGAGACCCAAAATATTAACGGTGGGAGAAAGAGAGAGAGAGAGAAAGAGGGAGACTAGTTATATTTAGAAGGGTAGTTGTATCATTTGAAAATAAATAATTAGTCACTTGTAAAGTTAGGTTTAGAAGAATCGTTTCATTTTAGATTAGAGTGCAAACGTAGAAAAGTAGAGTGTCAATGTCACCTCCTGTAATACCCCTAATTTTTAGAGCATTTAATTTATTATTTTAATTGCATTGTTAATTATTTTATTTGGTTAATTATTTTTATTAAATGATTAAATGGTTATTTGATTAATTTGGTTAATTAGGTTGTTTTAAATTATTTAATGTGCATTACTTGTCATTATTTGTTTATGTGTAATTTGTTTATTTAATTAATTAGTTTATTTTATTTTAATTAATCATGGGTTAGGCTTGGAGTTATTTGACCCAAATGAATGTGTTTGGTCTAATTGGAGAAAGCCTAGATAAGTTACATAGAATTATGGCTATGAAAAGGTGTATATAAATGTGTGTGTGTGTGTGTAATTGTGTATGTTAATATATATATATATATATATATATATATATATATATCGAGTGGATGCTTGTTTTGGAAAAACTATACATTTGGGGATTTATTATTATTATTATTGATGCAAAAATCTGCACGCTCAGGAGCCGGTGACGATTCCTGCAAGATGTAATGACCCAAGTTTTTATTTAACCCGGTGGGTCAGTGATGAGCCGATGATTGACCTGTTAACGGATCCAGATGCGAAAGCAAAAGATAAACCAAGGCCTCTAGAGATATAAATTACCCCTAGGGCACCAATGTGACCTTCGATAAAGTCACAAAACTTAAAGAAAGCGAAATAGCAAGCAAAAGTCAAAACGGGTAAAAATTCATTAATTAAGGGCAAAATCGTCAGTTTACAAATAAGGAAGGAAATATGACTCCAAGCAAGTCAAATGAGGTCTAAAGAACCTAAACTAATCATTTCACAACATTTCAAAAGGTTTTAAGAATTTTAGACAAGAATCCCACAAAACGTCATTTCCCAGTTTAAGTAAAAATAGACACCCTCTCACTAAAATATGAATAACTCTCACTATGATTTGAATCTGAGAATAGAATTGGTATCGTTGGAAAGCTGACTCAAAATCCTTGAGTTTAGGCTCAAGAATCACCCTATTTGGGTTAGAAATGAAGAAGTTGTGGCCGTTTAAAGTAGGAACAACAGTGTTGATACAAAACTGAAGGCTACTATGTATGGGTGCTATTTCGGTCGACCGAACTGGAGTTTCGGATGATCGAACTGGACAGAAATTTTGCTGAAAACATGTTTTTGAGGGAAGGTCACTTCAGTAGACCGAAATAAGCCATCGGTCAACCGAAATGGACCCAAACAGCGAAAATGGCTACTGGAATGGGTGATTTATTGTGCATTAAAGTTTCCAAGCGCCATCGGTCAACCGAAACACCTCGAAAAGCTGCTAAAGGACCTGCTATATGCCAAATGTGTTAAGGTTCAACCCATGCTTCAAATCCTCTCATGGATTGGTTCAAAAATGAAAGTTTAAAACTGATTTTCAATGAGATTTGAGTATGTGAACATGTCAATAACCTTAATATGGATAATCGAATGTATTACAATAACTCATGGCCTTATACATATTAATTACAAGAATTTCATATGCCAAACCTCTAAGTTAGTTAAAATACGCTTTTGAAGTAAAATATAGTGCCAAATGAGTACAAGTACTAAAGTAAACATGCTTGTCCCTTGGTCTCATTACACACACATCCAAAGAGTATCAAAAGGTGCACTTAAGTGCACATTACATGGCTTGAACAATAAATACAAGTTTTTATACAATACACCAAAAATGATCATGATATGCTAACAAGTGCATATTCAATGTCACCAAAAATACTCCAAAAAATCTAGCAAGTCTAAGAGTGTTGTGCATCCCACAATAATACTTCTTTACCTGAAAAACACCCGGTAACTTTGAGGTGAATAAACAAGTTTACTCGTAGGGAATGAACATGCATAAGTTTCACTTATTACAAAGTTTGCAATTCAATAGAATTTAATCCATGCTATTAAAATGACATTGGAACTTTTAACATAGCATAATGAGATACAATTTCACAAAGTTATCAACTTGGAAATTAAAGTACGAAATCAAATCAAAGTGGAAACTTGGACATCACGCCGGATCAAACCGACACCATAATTATTTTAGGGTTACTAGCCCATGGGTAACCTCCCTATGTGCGCACTAGACTTGTAGAGAGACAATCCCGCGTACTAAAACCATGCCCTAGCTTTAGTCATAACAACGACATCCTAAGTTTCCAAGATCAACAATTTGTGCAACAACATATATGTATTAACATAACATATATATACAATGTAAAGCCATCTACCATGCACAAACCAATTCTTGAAAACACAATACATGCTTTAGTTCATTACTACAATGGCATGCAAATTGTTGAATAATTACTATACAACTTGTCACATGTTATAATAATATCCTTCAATATTAAGAACGCAATCTCACAATTATAGTATAAGTCTAAAATCATGATTAAACATGCAATCTTCATAAAATACATACCCAAATCATTGATACAACAAGGATAAAAAGTAATTAAACAAAACAATTAATTTCTCTAGATTTCATTTCTCATCTAAATACCCTCAATAATATATGTTAAAGAACTTATCATGATCATTACATATATCCCTTCAAAACTTAATTTAAATCATGGAAACATGTAAATAAAAATTAATTTAATTAATTGACTAATGTCTCGAGATTTCAAAACAAACCTATACAACTTCAAATTTAGGTAAGTTATGAATTAAGTCATGGCCTTTCCAAAAATCAAGTCCTAACTTAATTTCATGTAAGGTACCATTAGTTATTAACTTAAAATCTTAGATTAAATGCATGTAATACCTATAAACCATGTTATAAAACATATAAAATATCAAAAACATAACTTAGAACACCCCCTACCTCACAAGAGGATTGTTCCTCTTGAATCCAAGGAAAACAAAGGAATTTCAAATTTTCCTTCTAGGGTTATGTAGAGGAGAGTGAGAGGAAGCAAAAGTATTCCAAAGTTTTAAGTCTAAGGTGAGTGGAAGGAGGCCAAAATGAAGTTTAAAACTTTAAACCAAGTTTTACTTCAATGGTGGCTAGGTTAGGGTTCTTGAGAGGAAAGAGATGAATGAAATAAAATATGAAAACCCTAAGTTAAAAGTGGTGGAATCCTCCACTCACTAGGTGCTCTTGCACTACCTCTCACACACACACAATGCAAGGCTTAATTTCATGCCTACACTTGTCACAAATCCAATGCTCCTTCCTAGGCTTCATCCTAAGCCTACACTTGTCAACCATCTAAGCCAACAAGTGGTCCAATCCTAGGCCAACAAATGGGTGAATCTCCATCCTCCATGTGTCAAGAGATTATGCCTCCAAGTCTCCCCACCTCAATGCCAACAAGTGGCACCATGAGAATGTGACATTTGTCACATTTTTTGAAAATTGCAAAAGGTCCTTTTTGAAAATATCTTCCAAATTAAATTGCAAAATGGTCCATAAGATGAAAAACAATTACTTTTCATAATTACACTAAAACCTCAAAAGTCAAGAATATTACCAAAAAGTTATGCATCCATATCTTTTACAAGAAAAGTAAACATCTAGCATGTTTTTCTACAAAAGTAAAAATGTAGATATCATGAAAATTTAATATCATGGATATATGCAAAGCCGGAATCAACTCCGAGTACAAAAAGTGAGGTTATGCAAGGAAAAATGATAAACGAGAAAAAGACAAAATAGGGAAAAAGACGAAAAAAAAAATTACCAAAAAAAAAAAAAGGAAGAAAATGACCGGGTCATTACAACCTACCATCCTTAAAATGATTTCATCCCCGAAATCAAATCATACCTGAAAAAGAGAACAAGTGGGGATACCGAGAGCGAACCTCCTGCTCGAGCTCCCAGGAAGCTTCCTCAACGCCTTGGTGTCTCCAAAAGACCTTAACCAATGGAATGGTCTTGTCCACAAGACCTGTTTCCGTGAATCAAGAATCTGGACTGGACCTTCCTCATAGGTTACATCTTCATCAATAACGACATTTATCCATCGTAAAACATGAGGTGGATCCGGCTCATACTTCCTTAGCATAGAAACATGAAAGACGTCAGGAACCCTATCCAATTCTAGCGGCAACGCCAAATGATAAGCAACTTCACCGACGCGTTCCAAAATCTCAAACGGTCCAATGAACCTAGAAGACAACTTGCCCGTCTGTCGAAATATCAGAATTCCCTTGCGCGGAGAAATCTTAAGAAATACATGGTCCCCTACCTCAAAAGACAAGGATCGTTTCCTCCTGTCAGTGTAACTCTTCTGTCTGCTCTGTGCAGTAGCCAATCGTTGCGAATCAACTTGATTTTCTCTATAGTCTCGATGACAATGTCGGGGTCCAAGGCAACGGTATCACCGACCTCGGTCCAACAAACTGGTAATCTGCAAGGTCTGCCATACAACGCCTCAAAAGGTGCTATGCCAATAATGGTTTGATAACTGTTGTTGTAGGCAAACTCAACCAAAGGTAAGTAGTCCTCCCAACTACCTCCGAAATCCAAGATACAAGCCCGTAGCATATCCTCCAATATCTGAATGAGATTGGGCCAAACTCCTTGGGGTGGCATAGTTTTCTTACAACTTACAGCGAAGTGAGACTACCAATCACAGTCCATTTGAGGTTGTTACCGGACGGCAACCTATGACACCCAACGCCATTGCTTCTACTTGCAGTGGTAAAAGTCCGGCAGCCTACAAATTTGCCAAGAGGTGGCACGAGCAGTCCGACTTGTCTAGGGCGTACCTTGATAAGGCGGCAAAGAAGATGAAAAAATGGGCCGACACCAAGCGAAGACGGGTGGAGTACATAGTGGGAGACTAGGTGATGGTTAAGCTATTACCCCAACAATTTGAGTCCTTCTGGAGCGTGCATAAGGGGTTAGTAAGGAAGTATGAGGGTCCATTCCCCATTGTCATGCCGGTGGGCAAGGTCTCCTACATGGTGGAGCTTCCACCCAAGTTGAGGATACATCCAGTCTTCCATGTCAGCATGCTCAAGCCTTATCATAAAGACACGGAAAACCTTACTCGGGGCATATCGCAGAGGGCACCCACGGCCGTTGTCACATCCTTCAATAAGGAAGTTGATTGCATCCTTGCGGATTGTGTGATGAGCAGGAGAGGCGTGCCCAAGTATATAGAGTATTTAGTGAAATGGAAGAACCTGCCAGATAGCGAAGCGAGCTGGCAGCATGAAGATATACTTTGGCAGTTCGCAGAGCATATCCAGCGGTTCAAGCAAGAAGACGCGACAAGAGTGTCGCGAGCTTAAGTGGGAGAGAATGTCACGCCCCGCAACTAAGAAGCTACACCACGCAGGCGCCACGCAGACTCCCAGCAGACGATGACATGACAGCCTGCATGGACCGAGAGCTTTCTAGACTTCTCTACACAAGTATGGAACTTTCCGGAATTCTCTAGATTAGTGTAGAGTTGTCTAGCATTTTCTGGACTTGTCTAGAGTTGTATAAAATTCTCTAAACTTGTCTTGTACATTGTATATAGTTCTAGAATTGTGTAGATAGTTCTTTGGAGGGTTTTAGACACTCATTCTAGGTCACACATTTGTACACATCTAGAATGTTCTTGTAAGGACCAAAGGCCTATAAATAGGAGGTGGGAGTTCATTTGCTCCTCACCAAGCAACAAAGTTGTAATCTTCTCCTTGTAAGCAATACAAGTTCTATACATTTCCAAACTCTCTTGCTCACTTGCCTAATCTCTTCCTACATACACATACTTATAAGCAAACACTTGTCTAGCCTTAGTCTTCACTAAGCTAGCACACTCAGGTAGGCTGACTTAGCGCTTCTAGGGAGCTTAAAAGTGTTTAAGGTTGCACGTGAGATTGGAAAGGTCCAAGTCCGTGACATTATGTAAGAAGGAAGGTGACCCATCAAATTTTCATCCCTATAAAGTGTGGTATTATATCTAGTGATAAATTATTAACTATAATAATAAAAATAAATTTAAACAGAGGAGGTTGTTAACTTTCCCTCCACCGAACAAAAAAATAGTATGCTATGTTCAGATTAAGGAGCTAACTTTAGTTGAACTTCGGATTGCTATAATTCAATTTCTTTGTTCGTGGACTAATTCAAATTTAACTTGAACCCGTGCCAAGCTTTCAACAAATTGTAGCAAACTGACACAATTTAGCATGTAAATTTCAATACATATATATATATATATTTAAAAAATTGTCCCAGTGCTACAAAATATGAAGCTACACAAACCAAACTAAACTTTGAATTTAGTTCTTCAAAGAGTTTGTAATTGTTGAATTTAAATTTCCTTCATATATTTCTCCAAACTCTTTCCCCCTGCTATGTCACAATTAACAAGTTTATAGTAGAAAATTGAGCTACAGATTGTTGAAGCTCAATTTAATAAACACGATTATGGTAGGAAATTAAGCTGTGATTATGTGATTAAGGAACATGAGCAGAACTTTTATCAACACCACGAACACAAGCTGAACTTTTAATGAACATAATCAATGCATAAATAAACCCTGAAATAAAACACTTCGAAAAAGCCTGTCAAAAGTAAATTATCCCCTAATAAGTTCAAACAATCTTATTCAATTCAGATGCCCCAGAATAAATTTAATCATGTTTGATCCTTTCTTTGGTCATTATAGTGCAACCCCTGTTACCAGTATCATAATCATGTTATAATGACTCCAATCCTCAGTTTCCTGCAGACTTAATGCACCCAAGTTGGTCAGAAAACAATTTAAGTTCGCACTTTGAGCTAAAGTTTTCGTAAAAAAGCTTATCAGATCAGCAAGATGCAATACAAAGATACAAACATAGAACACTGGTCGATCTAAGACTCATTTCCTATCCCAAACTCATCAATCAGGACAAAAGAAATAGGCTATCACTTTCATTTTCAACTAACATAGATTACAGACAGTGGATTGTTTAAATTGGAGTGAAATTAATTAACAGGAGAACTCGATGGAAAATTTCTCCAATGTCAACACAAGCCTATATTACTACTAACTAATTCTTTTTAATCTTTTGGTGCGGTTTATATAGAATCTCTTTCTGGCCTGTGCTTCTTCCACTTTCGTTTTGGCAAGGACAAGATCCAAGGTGGAACCTCACAGCCAGATGCTGAAATTACATTGGCTATGTTACGCAGAAATGGAACATCAGCTTGTGTGTATAAAGTTATAGCTTCTCCACTCCTCCCTGCTCTGCCAGTGCGACCTATGTAAAGAGGAAGAAACTTGGCTTCAGTTACCACCCAAAACACAGGATAAACAGGAAAAAAGAACAAAAAAACAGAAGGGGAAAAAAAATGAGTCGGAGACAAGTGCCCCATAAAAAGCTTATCAGTGTTTCTCAAAAAAGATAAGTAAATAAATCATGCTTTGTTTTGTTAAGGAGATCTAGTAATCACATTTCTAAAATGCATCAGCTAAGAAGTGAATGGTTGTGATTAACATACCAATCCTGTGTATGTATGCGGCAGCAGAATCTGGGAAATCATAATTAATCACACAGTTGACACCTTTAAAATCCATACCCCGGGCAATAACATCAGTGGCAATCAAAATCCAAGTTTTACCAGCTCTGAACCCATCAACAGCATTTTCTCGCTGTATTTAATCAAAAAATAACAGCATTGATCAAGCTAAGGCGGTGGTAGGAAAATTATGATCGATGGTAACTTGAAAAACATTTTGCAACATATGAACAAGGGTTAGGGTTGGAGCAAAATAAAATAAAATCAGAAAACTGGTATCCAATTCAAAGATCTAGGAATTTAATGCACCGGGACCAGGAGGAAAAGGGACCTCAATCCAAAGCGCTACAATTATAGACAACTCGTTTACAGTATTAGAGAGACTCTATATGTCCGCCGCTTGTGACTCAACCATTATTCCAAGGACAGTTTATATAATTGAACAAATGGAACTCATTAATAAAAATATTAGCTTTGGTTGGAGGTGCTAGACACAATGTCTTTTGATGGTTCTTCTAGAAGTGCACCAAAAAAAAAAATTTAATAATAATAATAATAAATTTGTTGTTTCCTACAAGCGGTTTGGATTCTGGAGAAACTATTTTACTTTAAAAAATAAAAAAGGCTAAGAAGCCTATTCCAAACAAAACTAAAGCTCTCATCACGTAGACACAGCAACCTTAAGTCAGGAAAAGGTCATTAACCAATGTGGTCACCAAACACAGCCACCTTAAGTGATTTCTCACATTTCAAAAGGTTCTCACAGTTCAATAGGCTATTATTTGTAAGGGGAAGAAAAAAGAGGCTTCTACCATTGATGTCAATTGATGGATGACATACTCTCACATGCTACTTCAGATATAATTAAAGGACAATTTACAGAGAATGGATTGATTAACCAAAAGCTCAGGCGACCTGATTAAAATTTGTTTTTCAATCCAACTAATAAACAAGTTAAGTTTGAGATAGATCTAATCTATCACAATGCATGTTTCATTGCACTCTTAAAAGCACGACCAGATGACCACCTCGTATGAAAAACTTGGTCAGGCACTTATTAGCCATTAGAAGTGACTAGACAGAGGATCGAAAGTCACCATTGCTGGAGCTTGTTATACAATGCCTGTTCCATTCTCTAACAGCTTAAGCTTTTAAGCAATTGATAGTCTAACATGGTATTAAAACTTAAGTTCTGGGAAGCATTGCATTCAAGTCTCCATATATGTGTTTGTTTCCTGATTTAGTGTGCAAGCTTGCACATTGTTCTGGTCTTGATTTGAACTATTTGTCTCGCCAAATTTAAGGCGGGGTTGCACCTGAGGGATAGTGTTGGAGTTTGATAAGCATTGTTAAGTCCATTCCCTAAATAATATAACCACCATACCAATTTCATGCGTGGGATCCCCTTGGGAGACCCATTAACAATCTAAATAATCTAAACACCATACCAATTTCGTGCGTGGGATCCCCTTGGGAGACCCACTAACAATCCAGCCCAGTCTTCCACTTGCAGGTCATATAACAACAGCGCAAGTCCTTTTTTTATTTTTTAACTCGCTAGTCGGTACTAGATTTTTGCTTACATATAACCTTCACCGGGAAGGTATGCAAGTACACTTGGTGATAAAATGCTATTCAACAACAAAAGATGCTGAGATTACCTGTATTTGGGAGAGATCAGAATGTATAACATCAACTCGTAAGTCGCCGAATGCCAATTCCCTGTGAAGCTCCTTTGCCCGTTCCTTGCTTTGAACAAAAACTAGTACTGGGGCATTCAGACTCTGTTGGTGAAAATGAGAAACCACCCAAAATGTAAATAAATAAAATAAAAACTCATCATTTTCACACACTAATCAATAGCAGGTTCAAGCTAGAAGTGCTGCAAATGATATGGTTAACAGGTTTGAATGAAGCCTTGCCATCACAACCAAGAGATGTGAGCCAATTCCACTTTCATGGGCGAGTGAAGTCAAGAAGAAGAATGAGTCTCTCCCTCTCTCTCAAAACTGAGGGCACAAAATATCCTTCGTATAAATGGGTCAAAGAATATGTTTCACAAATCATGTAGTCAATAGCTCCGCAGTTCCTTCAAATCATTGGTAGAACAGAACAAATAGGAATACCAACCCTCCTAGGCTGGGTGAAGTGGTTTTTGACCTCACAATTCTACTACACATGCATTCACATTTTATTCGCTGCTTTCAGCAGATGATCTAATTTGTAGATAATAATCATAGTGACAGTGATAGTGAGAAGACATGCTCTCCACCACATGCATATAAAAAGCATACCTCTGCAAAGCTTTGACGGAGTGCAAGAAGCTTCCCTTCTTCACTTCCAACAAAAACTAGTTTCTGCTTTACTAATTCAGAAGCAGAATTCCTGTTCAAATTTCCAAATGCGCAGATATTTAATCATAAAATATCAAATAAGACAGCAAATATAGTGGAGAAGAGTCATTGTACTTTTTCCATTCACAAAATGTTGATAACCCCACTACGGTTTTCAACCAGAAAGGCCTAATTAAAAATAAATAAATACATAGTAATAATTATAATTTAGGGAGTTGCTGTACGCTTTCATGACAAAGTCATCTAATACTTACTTCCTGCCAATAATAACTCTAACAGCATCATGCATTATTGAGCGTGCAAGTTCCTCAACTGAATCGGGTAAAGTAGCACTGAACAATGAACGTATAATAGAAGGATTTGAGCATGCTTTCACCACAAAATCAACCTGCCCCACCAAACCGAGCTCAAACAGCTTATCAGATTCATCCAGGACAAGGTACTCAACCCTGCAACAACACTGAAAGTATGAACGCATTCTAATGCTAATACTATGTGTTGTCAGATGCTGGTCCTTTCCAATTTCTAAGTAACCAAGCACCTGAAACTTCATTCCAGTAACAAAAACCATGATATGTTTCTCCTTTATATTCTACTTTTACTTCTTTGAAATAGAAGTTAACCAAGGAGTCAAATCATGCCATATGATTATTTACAAGTCCAAACAGACAGGTAGGGAGTTTGTCAATTCTTGCCTCTAAGGTCAAAGGAGTTTGAAACAATTCATATGGGAGTGAAAAAAAAAATCCATTTTCTTTCCTTCTAGTTCTTTTTCTATTTTGTTCAGTTGGATCCTAAGAAGGAATCATAAAATGCCATTATGACTGTCCATGACCCAGAAAACAGATATTGAAATTCTCTCTCTTTCCACTAACCCGAGTAATTCAACACTGTAAAGTGATCTTTAAAGTGCCTAGGAGTTTGACAGTTTGAATTACATCTTTAAGTTCTAGATTCCAATAGTATGCAATTTAAAACTTAAATATAACATGAACAGAGACAGGACTTCAAACAATATTAAATTCATAGAAACCTTTCACACATGCGAGCAGGAACAGTTGTTTCTGAAAATAACAAGAATCATATACACATGGTTTAAGTTCAGATGATTAACAATATCAATTATTAATAGTCATTTTTAAACAAACAGATTGAATAAGCTAGTTATAAAATCAAGAATCAAGTGGAACTCAGCAGAATATGCCTTGGAGCACAAAATGCTGAAACTTCATTACTACATCGTTTAATGAGTACGTGTGTATGTTTAAAGATACTTTAGCTTGAAAATTTACATTATATTCATAAATATGAAGTATGTGATTTTGTTGTATGATTTCAAAAAACTAAGTTGACAGGCATTTTCATCACTTATGATGCAGCTTACATATTGCTTTGAACCATTATTGAAGGCAAACAATCACAATTTTCATTGTTCTGGTGTTTCTGCCAGTTTGATAGAGTTAAGATCAACTAGAGATAATAAGATAATACCTGCTTAGATCAAGCTTTCTCTTGCGAATAGCAAACTCTAGGCGAAGTGGTGTGGATATGAGTACGTCACATGGTAACTTTGAAAAATCAGCACTTTTAAGAAGTTGTTTCGTCATTAACTTGATATAAAATTTCTTTCCCTTAGCCAGCTTCTTACATTCTCTAGTTGTCTGAGCAGCTAACTCTCGCGTAGGACAGAGGATAACAGCACGAACACCATCCTTTGAAGCATGCTGATTGATTATATGGAAAATGTTCATCAAAAAGATTTCAAAATTAACGGACCTACTCAAAAGAAGTTCAAAAGCATCTGATATTACCTTAAGCTTCATGAGCATAGGACAGATGAAGGCCAAAGTTTTGCCTGAACCAGTTGGAGCACAAGCAAAGCATTCCCTCCCCTTTACACAAAAGGGTAAAATTAGCCATCAGAAAAAGACAACAGTAACCAAATTGGCTTCAAACACTAAATCGGCAACTAGTATTAAATTACAATGACCTAATTTCTTGGTGGGTAAAAAGAGGAAAATATTCAAACCAAGTTATAGCCTATAAAATTGACACATTTATTTTGAATGACTTGGTGAAAAGAGAAAAGAATGAAAGAGAGATAGAGATAAGGACAGTTTAAAGGAATATCATACAGATAGGAGCACTGGAATAGCCTGCCTTTGAATTGGAGTTGGCTCTCTAAATCCAAGTTCTGCCAGATTCCGTAATAGATATGGTTTACATCCATATCTACACAAGAAAAAATATATTCTTCAGCCATAACAATTGCTATCAAAAAATCTCAGAAATTATCACTGAAAGGAGTAGACGAATTATTTTGTTTATTTAAAGCGTGCAAGGAATAATATGCCTAATGAGTGCAAATGATGTAAGATTATGAAAACAAGATTAAAGAAGAATAGCATTTTGTATTCATGCCTAAGAAAAAAATCTCCATACATATATATTTTTTAAAAAATAAAAAATAAAAAAGATATGAAATGATATTAATTTTAAAAAAATTATATAATGCACATAAATGATCCAGAAAAGGTTCAAATAAAGTACTTGAAATAACATCAGTATCATGGATGTCAATTTAACCCGCCCCTATCGAGACAGGTTTGAACCATTTTAACCCGCCCCAATTAATAATAAATATACAAATAAATATAATTTTATTAGGTATAAGTTTTCTTTCTCTGTTTTCATGATGTTCTTTTTCTCCATTTACATGATTATTTAAAATTTGAACAATTTTTTTTTTGTTATTGTGATCGTTAAGTATTTGTCTATACTTAGATTTTTTACAAAATTTATCTTACTTTTGTTCAAGTTTGAATTGCTTTTTCTTGAAATATATGTAATCGAGTTGCCCCAATTCCATTGGGAAGATCTTTTTATTTGTGGGACAGGTATGGGATAGGGGTACCCCATACCACCCATTTTGACATCCCTATGCTTGATAGGTCTAAACTACAAAATGGAGAAAAAGATTGAAGAAATACCTTGAACTTAAATCAATAAAATTCTGAAGAGGCGAGGGGACGTTACTTCCATAAATATGAATGTTATACTTCTTCCGCAAAAGGGCATCCCGCTGAATTCATGAAGACAGAGGAGATAGAAAGAAAATAAAGACGTAAATACAGAGAGAAAGAACAGAGAGAAAAAGATATATATATAGAGAGAAAGAGACAGAGACAGAGACAGAGACAGAGAGGGATATCAAACGGAGAGAACCTCCATTTGCCTGTACAGTTCCTTCTTTCCATCTAAACTCTTTTTGTCATTCTGGTCATTCTCTTCAGTCACAGCTTCTGATGTCGATGTTTTGAAGACATTGAAACCTTCTACCGTTTCTAAAATCAACAAATACAGAACAAATAAAGTTAAATTAGCTTGTAGAAAATTGGTTTCCATCTGTCAATTAACCATATTGACAAAATATTATAATATCTGTTTTGCCAACATTTTATAACTTGAATTTTCAGTGCTTTTTACTAATTTTTGCGATCTTTTAATTAAGATATTGACAATATATTCATAGTTTAGGGAAATGAGTTATCCTTGTTATTGATATTGGATACATTACATCGATTACATACTCAAACAATAAAGATATTGACAATATATTCATAGTTTGGGGAAATGAGTTATACTTGTTATTGATATTCGATACATTACTTCGATTACATACTCAAACAAACAAAATCAATCAGAAAGAAATTACCTGAAACCATTGCCTTCCTCTTTCTCTTCTTTACCGGCATTGTCTTCTGTTCCAGTTCAATGTTTTTGGTATCAACCGCGCTTGGCATCTCCTTTGAAATTGATTCATCAATTTCTTCTTTCTCCTCCTACAAAAAGATTGTATTAGATAACTAAATCAGATGTCAAAGTTTCAGGTTCTTATTTCAAAAAAATTCTCGAGAACCAACCAGAGGGTTTAAGCCGGCTTACCTTGAACCTTGCAAAATCTCTGGCGAACCGCTTTCTGTTGAAAGAAGTCCCTGCGAATAGAAAAGAAGTGCCCTTTTCCATTGTTGAATACCAACAACCAAACTCTAGTATCAATCTGTCACCAAATACTGAGTGAGCGATAGGGCTGCAAATGAACCGAGCCGAGCCTTGGCATCAAGGGCGGATCCAGGATTTCTCAACGGGGTGGGCTAAATCAAAATATATCAACCAAAATCAACTATTGTTTAATTCAATTTTAGTTAATTAACAATGTTTCTTTAGACAATTGACTGATTAAGGCATAGAAAATCCTATTTGGGTAATTGATAAAAAAAATTACCAATTTATTTCCGAACAATTCACCACTCAGTACCCTATCTCTTCTTTTGACCAATTTAGTAATCCTATTTGAGAATCTACTAGTGGAAGCAGAGTGTGAGGTAGTTCATGGCAAGCCCCTTCCAACACTACGGAATTCACTCAAAAGCATGCTTTTGTAAGTATTTTAATTTTCAAGAAGTAACTTTAGAGCTTTACCCTATATTAAGTACTTTTGCTTGTCAAAGTTCTTGTCATGATTTTTTTTTTTTTAGTTCTGAAAAGATTTCCATCTTCAAAAAGCTTGGCATGTAGATAAAAATTGTTTCAGATTCAATCTCTGCATATTTCTAATCCAATTCAGATTTTTTTTTTTCTTTTTTCATGCCCAGATTCAAATTTTCTTGTAGACATAATTGACAAAAAAAAAAAAATTTGTTTTGCTGAAATAAAATGTAGATTACGGTGATTACCTCAAAATGAAATGCAATGACTACCTCAAAATGCAATGCAAATTTTGTTACTTTATATTGTAAAAAAAATATATTTATATAATAAAAAATTTCACCAAATAGGATTTAGTTTGCAAAACAAGAATTACAGACCTTGATTAGTTGATTTAGAAAAAAAATTAAAACAAAACCCATACATACAAGTTAGCAGTTGCAGAGAGAGAGAGGGGGGGCAAGCTTGAGAGTTGAGAGACAACGGGCCAGCGGCTGAAGCTTGCGAACGGCGAACCCAAACTGGAACAGCGGGCGATGGAAACTGAAAGATATGGGTTTTGATTTTTTGAACAATGAGAAATGATATGCCGATGTGGGTTTTGAACTTCTGATTCTTGTAGGCTTTGTAGTTTGCAGTTGCAGTCTTGCAGAGAGAGAGAGAGAGGACAAGTTCAGAGTTGAGAACGAGAATAGAGATGTAGGCGATTGGGGAGGCTGTAATGATATGCCCTAAAAAAAAATTAAAAAAATTCCTGGTGGTCCATCATCCATGGGCCTCTAAATTTTGAGGCCTTAGGCGACCACCTTTGTCACCTTGGGTCAGGGTCGGTCCTGGGCTTTATTTGACTTAAGCCTTTAATTTTGTGTGGTGATTGAGTTGACTTGAACTTGAGTGAGCTCATACTATTAATAAATTTTTTTTTTTTTGGATTGGGCTAAATTTAGTATAGTAATTTTTTTTTTTTAGGTGGGCTCAAGTGTCCACCCCTACATCCACCCTTGCTTGGCATGTTCGGGCTCGACTCGCCAGAATCAGGGAGGTGTTCGGAGTTGGGCGAGCCTAGAATAACCAAGCTTGAGCCGACTTGTCAGAAAATCTACAAGGTTGGGCTCAGCTCAGTTCGTGCTTGTCTGCGCGCGTGCCCGCACACACATATATATATGTAGCACCCATATATACACAGCACACATACATACAAGTATATATAATACGGAGTACAAAACAAATTAGTGTATATATATAACACAAATATATCATATATATCAATGTGTTGAGTTATGCATATGTATACACACACACACGCATACCTTTAGGTTCTCTGAAATCAACTATAGCTAATAATTATTTTCATTATTCTTCCATTGTTGTCATCAGAATATAAAATATTGAAGGGTGGCCGATGAAGGGAGAATCATTGCAGAGAAGGAAAGAAGAGAATAGAGAAGATGAGAGGGGTTGCCGGTGCCAGTCCCGCCCTCGATGTCAATGTCGCCTGATGCTTCGTTCGTGGTAGAGAATGAAAGTAGAATATGGTTTATTTGTTAACATAAATGGGTTGGGTCTTTAAAATGAATATGGGTTGGGTTTTGTTATTTAGATAGTAGTAATGGTTTTAAAAATGGGCTTATCATGTATAATTGTAATGGACTCACTTATATGGGCTAGCCTTGTTCATGAGCCTAAACGAGCACATGTTCACTAGCCCATACGAGCTGAGCCTAATGTTGTTCAGGCTTGGCTCGACTCGTTTACTAAACAAGCCTATAAATGGGACTCGAACTTGGCTCATTCATTTAACGAACGAGCCCGAGCCGAGTCCTTAGTGTTCATGAACAGTTCAGTTCATTTGCAGCCCTAGTGAGCGACTAATTTATTGTAAAATTAATATTAAAAGTATTTTAATTAATAATGTTCATAGACAAATTAACAGGCAATAATGCCAAACACATAATATACTTATTCTTCTTATTTTTTTAAGGGAAAATTACATTGATCGAGGTTTGGAGAAATTATAAACGTCTGACCTTTATTATTTTGACTTGTCTAAAAGTGTGAAATATCTTTCATATTCTTTTTTTTTTTTTTTTAAAAAAAAAAAAATTGTCAAATCAAAAGACTCTATTACCCTTTTAATTTTTTCTCCATCTTGTAAACACTATATTACCTTATCTATTTTTTTTTTCAAAAAAAATAATAATGATAATAATCAAACAAAAAAATAATAATTTATTTTTGTAAAATTTAATAATATAAAATTAGTATAAAAATTAATACTTTGCATTTTAATGGTATTTTATGATATTTTTGTCATTATATGTCAAAATATAAGGCTATTGAAGTCTTTCAGCACAAGAAAATGACAACTTAATCATTTTTTGAATTTTTATTAATGGCAAAGGTCATTGAGTACACATGCTTGAAATAGGTCAAGTTAATAAAAGACCAAAAACTCTACTTCTGTGTAATTTGCTTAAATTTTGAGAAAATTTACCCCTTTTTTCAAAAAGTAATCATAGCCAAACACCTAAAATTCTTTTTATAAGAAATAATAGTACTTAGTTGCAACCAGAAGAGCAATCAACTGACGAGGGCCCTCGGAAGGATGTGCAAACGATATAGTTGTTCTCAAGGTTGGGCTTGGAGTACATCTCTCGATGCGAACTCAGTCGCTCAGTAAACGGCTTTAGGACGGAAATAGAGATTGAAGATATCCATAATATGAGAAAAAAGAAGAAAAAAAATCTTAGATTATGTGCAGTCTTAATTTCCTTTTGTAAGATATAGGAGCGAAAAAAATCAATCTATTGATATTGGAAGACCAAAAAGATTCTTTCAATATATCACTTCCTGGTCCAATAGAATCCATAGGTATAGAAAGAAGCCCTATCAAATAGAGATTTTTTTCTTTGGATCATATTTCAATTGTTAATGACATTTGAAGTCCATTAGTTTGATACCATATTGCATGGAATTTGAAATCCATTTGTTTGATACCATATTGCATAATACAAATCAATGGCCTAACTGGACCTCTACCATCCAAAGGGAAGTTAAAGGTTTGAGCTTCCTATGTGTGAGTACACTAAAATATATATATATATATATATATACACACACACATATACAATATTTTTGGAAGTTTGTGTGCGAATCCAAGTCAAGTCTCCATATATTATTATTCATCCATATCGCATGAAGTCCTTTTGATACCCGACCCAAACAAAAAAGACCATCTGCAGTTGCGAAGAAATCTGAGATCACCCCCTGATGCCGCCGGTAAAAACATAAAAAGTTTGATCAGGTAGAGATGATGACTGTCTAAAAAGATCAACTGCTGACCCGCAGGCATCATCAACATAATATGAGTAACACCACCACCTGTCGTTTTATATAACATGTTCCAAGCAAGAATGCATCCATACTATAGAATCTGATTTCTTGGAAAGGAAATTGAAAATAAAAACCTAGACCAAAGATTTTTGTCCTGCACTTACCATCAACCAAAAAAATCATAAACATAAAATGACAGACAAGCTGGGGAAATAAACTTGTTTCTAATTTTATAGTCTCCAGTACAAAAAAACAATTTCCAAAGGAAAGTACCTTGGATTAACACATTTAACAAAAAAGTTCCATACAATTTATCTACGAGAGTAAATATAGATGAACACCCTTGAGACATTATGCGTACACCTATTCCACAACAGACCGAACTTTTCTCTAAACAGTCAAACCATGAAACCCACAATTAGTGGGCTCAAGAAATATTCAACCTGCAAAAAAAGATCCATGACGCTAATCCGAAATATCTGCGATATGCATAGAGGGACAGGTAGCAGTCGTGGATGTTACAAATCATGCATCACTGGCCCATAAATCCTTTCTATTCATCAATTCCATAGTCTTCACCAAAGTACTTGTCAACTAATTCGTTAGCCATGTTTCTAAGGTCTTCATTTTCATGAAATTGGAATCTTTCCATGGCATCAATCCCATCCTCTCTCTCAACAAGCTTTGGCCCCTCACCATTTGGCATCCCCCTTAAAACCTGCTCATAAACAAAATTGTCAAAAGAAACTTCTAGCATCTCCTTTCATATTTTCAGTGTTAATTTATTACAAATAAGCAACCGCGCTTACGAAAGAAAGTATTCATCACTCAGCCAGACTAATAGAACACAGTAATTCAGTCATCAAACATCATTAAAAAAAAAAAGTATCATGATCAAACAAATGCAAGTAAAGGAAATAATATAATCTTAGGAATCCAACATGCTAAAAAATGCTTTTTTTGCCTCAACAATTCTCTCGAATAGGAAAGTCATATGAAGTACATCTACATCATACCAAACCCTCATTTTAGTGACACATACTATATTCTTCATTAAGAGGGTGGGCCTATGGCAATATAAACAGTTAATTTACCCTAACAAAAGACGAACAAAGATTCATGCAGGCAAATGCAATTACAATCACAAGGCATGTGTACATTCTATGCAGAAAAACTCTTCACGGCCAGATAACAATTAAATCAACACATGATCTACAGATTCTTGCTTTTCTTCAAGAAAATATTTTCATGATTCTGTCTGCACCAATTGTTAGCCTAAAATTATAGGTTATTTGAGTTGTTGAGAATGACATTAACCAAGTAGGCCAGAGTTTTACCCATGCCTGACCGACTTAAGTGGATTTTGTTTTATGTGGTACTACAATATTTAAACAAGAGAAGTTTTGGTCCCGATATAGAAGGGCCCTAGGACTTGAGACAAATCTAACCTTTTATATTTCACAAAGTAGCTGCTCTAGGACTCAAAACTCATACAAATGACACTGGTTAACTGTTGAAAACCAGGCAACAGCCATAGTAATAATTAAATATATAAATAAATATAAGTAGCTGAATCTTTGAGTTTTCTTACCAGCTCCATGAATTGAAGTCCTAATCTTGCAGCCTCGGTATCAGCAGACCTAACTAAATCAATAAAACCAGGAAGGCATCCTCTGCCAACAAGAGAAACTAAGTGCTCCAGAATCAAATTTGGCCTTCCACCACCTTCAGTTGGGGCAACACAGAGATTACCTAGAACATATGCTACTTCCTTTCTTATATCAAATGGTGATGTTGAAAGAAGGCGCAACAGTAATGGCACTGCCTCACTTGAATATATCAATTGCTTGTGTTCAACAGATCCAGCCGCTATATTAGATAGAACCCAAGCTGCTTCCTACAAAATTAAAGACCATCTGATCAGAATGTATGATCAAGTTTAATGTCATAACAATAAAGACAAAAAACATACCTTCTTCAAAACCCGATGCTCACTCTTTAGACATCTAATGAGTGCACCAATGACACTAACTGAAAATTTTAAAACATCAGCAATTAACATAACAGACGTGATGAAAAATACAGTTTCTCATGTTAGCAAGCAAAAAAAGTTGCACACTAGCCTGTAATTTCATTTCCAGCAACAAGAAAGACATTAGTCGTTTGAGCATCACCAGCCACAAGATTACCTACACTCCGCAGCACCTACACAAAAAACAATATGTCAAGTAGATTATAAACCTAAAAATTTACTCCACAAACACTACAAGTCCAATTTATCTCTGCATGTAACATTTAATTTAAATTAAAAAAAACATGCAGGCACAAGAATATGCAATTTGAATGAAGCTAAATTCTAGTTCACCGCTGCCTTCTTTTGTATGCTCATGACAGTGCAACTTTCTGATGATGGGATTACAATTATGAGAATTAGATTAGATACTCTCGAACCACATGCTCATTACAATAAAATATGATGCCGTGCAACCTAATTTGTGCTCATTTAGCTGCGACGTGAATGTGATGATACAACCATCACTTGCACACATTTTTTATGTTAAATCTGCACATGTTGCTGCTTTTACTGAAGGATACTTGTTATTCATACATTTTTTATCGAAGAGAATGTAAGTAATATATAAATTATTTCTATCGTATCCATTAACTTAATGTCCCATTCTCTGCTCACAATCTGACCTTGTCTTATGGAATTTCTTGCTTCATTCTCTGCCCTCTATGAATTCCCAAGTCATCACTCTCACAATCAACCACAATCAGGAAATTGAACAGATCAAGTTGATGAGCAAATGAAAGTTATGGAACAGAATATCCCAGAAAAATATTATCAGTAACCAACGAAGAAAGTGAAAACATGAAAAAGAAGATCACACATGGTGCTTGAGATCTTAACTCTTAAAAAAAATTGGTCGGCATTCTAGAAGCTAAGCTTCCCAAACGCCAGCCTCCTTGCATGGAAATGCTAGTAATGGATATGACATGAAATGTTATATCATGAAAATCCACACTTAATGAATATCTTGGTCAAGTATAGAAAGGTATGCCAGAATGGCGTTTAATTGCATCCATAGATTGGTCAACGTAAATGGTTAGTTGCATTATTCACAAAAGAACCCAACAAAAAGCCAACTTGGTCACTTGTTTTTGCATATTACCGGAATGAGCAATTGCAAACTATTTGATGTTGCCAATCTTTCAGCAAGCAGTTGAAGGAGATCACTATTCACCAACATGCTGGTAGCAACATTTGAGAGGGCTGAAAGATACACAACCACCCATGCTACTTCTGTTGCCAATTCGTCATCCCTGGTTTGAACAAGTCATTGATATTATATAAAGCCATATATGATTTGGTACCAAAAAAAAAAAGAATATTACACCATTATAGTGCAATATTTTTGCAAGGTACAAGCAAGAAAGAATACAAACAATAGAGGTTCTGTGACAGAAGAGTCCTTAGCCAAATATTGTTAGTTAACAAAGAATGTTTTTTTTTTTTTTTTGATAAGTCTAGTTAACAAAGAATATTAAGTAGCTATTGTCATGTGGCATCATTCCTTATAGGTCCACAAACTAGTAAAATGTGGTCCAACTTGCCAACCCAATCCAAACGCAACTGGTTAGGGTTCACCTTATGAGATACACTTATGCCTTCAAGCAAATCAGATCCATTTAATTTCTAGCAGTCCAAATGACCCGAAAATTTTATATCCGTACCCACCATTTTTAAACATGACTTGCTGAACCAAACGCCTATTCTAGTAATGTAACATGCTGGCATTCAAGCAAGCGCAAGCATGAGGCAGTGCCTCAAGGAACCCAAAGCATGCAAGAGAACTATAGCTTCTTTGATATGCCAAGTTCAACAAGACCCAATTATGACCCAACTTGTTGCCACCCACGCCGTAAACTGCACAAAAAATAGTAACAGTAACAGTTGTGGTAGCAGTGCTTTTTGTTCCAATGATAATGGGAGAAATAAAATAATAATAACACTGAATTTCTATCGAAGATAAACAATCAGAAAAATAGATATGTTAACCGTTTTACTACCACAATGAGTTGGTGCAAAGAACAAGACCAACAACCAAAAACATTGCCATCAAAATCCTAAAGCCTCAGTGATCAAGATGTTAGGCACTAAAAACCAAGCTGGGCATAATAAGCTAAACAAGATTGTTATTATGTTAGCAGGATAAGGAAAGAAGAATCCAAGGGTTTCTAATCAAATTGACTGTCTAAATTTGAGAAAACAACAATTTTTATACAGCACCATATAATATGCTTAGAACTCTTCCGTATTCTTCTAATTTTTTTTTTTTTTTTTTTTTGATAAGTAAGAATTATATAAAAAGCGCTCAAAAGGGGAGCGAATCCCATGGAAACAAAAGGCCACAAAAAGCCTCAAGCCTTCAAAGAGGCCAAAAAAATAACAATCTCCTCAACAAAACGATAATCTCTCCCTAAGACCCAACAAAAAAGAGTAGAAATAATAGAGAACTTAAGCATAGAAATGGGTTTCTCCTTGCCATCGAAATATCTGCGATTCCGCTTGAGCCAAATGCACCACCAAACACAGAGAGGGGTAGCCCTCCAATTTAGACAAAATATGATAAGGGTAAATTACACTAACAGTATCCTATTAAGAGTTCTATTAATACAAATACACCCTCTCACTCCAATGCAATATAAATACAATATATACTAAGCACATGCCCGAGACCGCTCGCCCTCTCTGGAGGATGCTCCATCTAATGCTTACAAAACCAAGAATTTCCTCTCTAGGGATAAGCCTCGGGATTGGTCTTAAATGTGAGGACCTCCTATCTAAGGATAGCCTCACAAAGAGCCCTCAAGGAGCTCCTCTCTACCGCTAAACCTTGAGGATGGCTTGTAGACCCTCAAGGAACTCCTCTATACAGATAAACCTAGAAGATGGCTTGAAATCCCTCAAAGAATTCCTCTCTACGGATAAACTTCGTTGATGACTTGAAGACCGGCGAGGAGCTCATCTTTGCAGATAAACTTTGAGGATGACTTGAAGACCCTTGAGGAACACATATCTACAGATAAACCTTGAGGATGACTTGAAACACTCGAGGAGATCCTCCCTACGAATAAACCTTGAGTATGACTTGACTTGAAGACCCTTGAGGAACTCCTATCTCACCATCTATGATTGTCATCACATGGAAGACAGCTCAATTCAGGGCGCCTCTACCCTCGCCAAGGATGACTTGACAAGATGATTTCTATGGTCGAGTAGGGGCAACCTCAAGATTGTAGTCACCAACTGGGACCCTAAGGGGTACTGGCATAGTGGCTTAGGTCTAGGGATGGTTAAAGGATCTTGGTCGTGAATGCACGGAGAGAATCCCCTTGACTTGTCGCAGAGGAAGGAAAAGAGGTAGTCTCCTCGGATAAAAAAGGAATTGAACCACCCACAGAGAGAACACTCTCATTTAATGTGAACTTCTCTCATGTCAATCGTAATAAATGCACGTACTCTCTCTTGCCTTAATAAGTTCGACAACTAACTAAAGCCATGAGATACCATCCCATGCTATCCTTTTAATGGCCTATGATCAAATCCCATCTTTGGGCCTTAGATCAACTCCTTCATCCCACGGTCCTTACCCGCAGAACTAGTAGTATAAAAGGAAGTTAATGTGCCATTTATGACCATCAACAATCAAGAGGAAAGAAACCGAGTCAAAATCCTTATCTTTTTTTTTTTTTTTTTTTGATAAATAAGTCAAAACCCTTTGTCTTAAACCTAACCTTCTCCAGAAGGGTGACTATCAAGACTGACAATATCCCGGCCCTTCCCAAATCTCGACGGGATCCCTTCGCAACAACCCAAATCTCCACTTGAGGCTACTCATCCTACTAGGCACCCATTGAGAATAGGTTACCCCTCATTTCCTTGAACATGACACCTCTAAATATTACTCCCTTCATCCCAATTTAGTTGTCCATCTTTCCTTTTTGGGTTGTCCAAAAATACTTGTCCACTTACCAAGTTTAAACAACACATTTCACATCTTTCTATAAAATACCCTTAAAATTTTACAAAAATTCAAACTTGATTATATATATATATATTTAAACTTGAAAGGGTTGCTTTGTAATTTTTAAAGGGGACAACGCAATAATTACATGTCCCCTTAAAAAGTTCTACTCCCCAAAAGGGACATCTAATATGGGACAAAGGGAGTATATACTATATAAATATAACTAATATTTTCTATTTTTTTCCATTAAATATATAATTAGATATTCTCCTACATATTTATATAAATTTACTTGTAAACTTTAAAATTTCCAAAATCTACAAATTACATTCACATATGCAGAGTAAAAATTGAAATTGAATACTATATATATTGAAAAAATAAAACTTATAATTTATAAATATGTGTAAGTTAAAATATATACATATGTGTATTTACAAATTAAATTTAACATCACAACTTATTAAGCCACTTATGTGCATAAATAAAATAAAATAAATTATATCACTTAAATGCATAGTTGAGAATCTAATTCACAACCAAGAAAGCAGCTGCCATAGCCACCCCCACCGCAGCTATCGCCGCCGTGATTTTTGCATTAATCACAAATAGATTAATGCAATATTCATCTCAGACTATATAACACTTTTGGCCTTTTGGGTAGATAAACATATACAAATATATATTAAACATATACATACATATATATAGAGAGAGAGATGAGAGTCTGGAGGTGTGGAGAATGGAATAGCATGCCTAAGAAAAGAAGTGGACCCAGATAAGAGATGTGGTCTATTGTCTCGACTAGCTGTCTACACTACCTGTCGTCATCACCATCTTCTTGCAGTCAGGTCTTACGAAGAACCTAGTGCTTTGTCTATTGATCATGAACGAAGAAAGAAAGTTAAAAGCTAACCAATTGATCCATCCAACCCATTTGTTATTGTCCTTGACCCCTATATTTGTTCAAAGTAATCAATTCATCCCAAAAAATCCAAATTTAAACACATTCCAAGACTTTTTATACCAATAGAAATATTAAAAGATAGCATTAACCCGAGCATTCCAAGCCATAAGTTCATTCTGTGGCTTGCTATATAGGAACGACTTCAAATCCATGACAGTCAAAGCAAGCTCCACTACCATTGGCCTAATTTTTGCTCCCTCTGCCTGTCCTCTGATAAATCGCGTTCTCACCTCTTTTTTTACTGTGAATTTTCAAACCCCATATGGGAAGTTCAATCAACTCAAGTGCGGATTTCATATTATGCCTTCTAGCTGGAGTGAACTAAATGATTGGTCCTCTCACCACTGGAAGGACAATACAACGAACTGTTTGGTTTGGCTGTGCAAATTATGTCTCGCAGCAAGTATCTATTGTATATGGAAGGAACGGAACACTCAATTGTTCCAAGGAAAGATATCCAATGCCAACCGTGTCTTGGACAATATTTTTTAAACGGTTCGAGGCAAAGTAGGGAATGAAATGGAAATCTTCATCTGCTTCAATTAGGGTGATGCAAGAATGGGATTTACCCTCCTCCATCTCGATTAACACTCATCCCCTTCCATCACAGATGAACGATGCTCTGGTTATTAATTTAGAGCAATGTTCCCCAGCTTTGAATTTGGGGGATAGTTAGCTTGAATTTGGGTTGGGCCTCTTGTGGCTTGGGTTTTGTTGTAGCTGAGTTACCAGCATGTTTTTTTTTTTTTTTTTTTTTTTTTTGGGCCTAATGGTAGAGAACAGTGGTAGCAAGTAGAGGACAGTGGCGGCAGCCTTTTAAAATGTATAAAAGGCGTGAGAGAATCCTAGAGCTCAAGCCTTGATTTGGCATAGTTAGGTGAAGTGGGGTCCACTTGCAGTCTTGCATAATTGGAGGGATTGGGTCAAATTGCATCAATTATGGTGCAATTGCATTATTGTGGTAAAGTGCATCAAATAGATCAAATTGTATCAATTAAGTTATTTGTTACTTTTATTATGCTAGAGTCAACTTTGGATTACCTCAATTGTAGGGTAATCCAAGGGTCATCAGTTTTTATAAAAAGGATACAATGTAACTCTGATTACTCAGTCAATGAATGAATAAAAAATATCCTTTGAGATTTCTTTGTGAGTGATTCACAAATACTGAGGGTGTGAGACCTTCTCTAGCTGTGATACCTAGCCCTGGTGGAGTGATTCCAATAGGTTTTTTCTTGTTTTCAATCCTCTCTCTCTACTAACAGCTCTTGAACCCCAAAACTCTTATTTGCTTCCTTCTATTTGAGCATGTTCTTGTCCTACATCACCTAATCTCATTTGGCCGATGAGCTTTGTACATTCTTATCTTCTGTTAATAAATTTGCTTTGCCTTGCAAAAAAAAATGTGATACAATTAACCTAATGCCATGAATTCCACGTGGACCAATTTTCTCACTTAAACCCATCTCTTCATCAGTTCATCTTCCCTCTCTACAACTCCTAGCAGCTAGCCTCTCTGAAGATGAATCCATAGCACAGGACAAACAACAAGGTGACAACAAACCAAATAACCCATTCATTCCACCACCATAATGTGTAAAAATCAAGGCTTTGATTAGAGTAAGGATAAGGATAGTGTGAAAAGAGAACAAAGGTAGCTTATAAATCGTGGGGTGGTCATTGATGAATCATGGAGGCGATTCAATGCCGGTGTGGTGGGCAGTGGCGGAGAGAGAAAGTGGTTTTTTATTGGTATGAGGGTAATATAACCATTTCAGATTTAAATTTTTAACTAAAAAGTCGAATAAAGGGCAAACATGGCATTTCACACAACTTTTAAGTTTTTCCAAACATAGCATCAACCTGTGATAAAAGCTAACATCAGGGGACGTCAGTGTAGTTTTCCCTGTATTTCAATACAGAATATACATTGAAACAAAAATAAATACACATGGCATTTTGACATTTTGTCTTCTAAATATAAGATTACAAAGACATTTTATCCACAAAATCACCATTCTCCACAACACAAAAATGCTAACCATGAATTTCCACCCCCCAAAAAAAAAATGCTAACCTTCAGGTCAGAGGCCTTACTGTTTTGAACTGAGGGACTTGGTAGCATTAGGATCTTTTCTGATATCTTCGCATTATTTTCACAATGTATAGTGACAAAATTAGTCATCCATTTCAAGTTTAACAAGATATCAAATTTTTTAATTGGGAGACGAGTTTGGTTTGATGGGATTGGGACCAGAATAAGGTTTATGTGCTATCTCCTCAAAGGTCAAGTTGTAGCTCATTAGCACTCTTCCCAACTGTGTCAACAATTGTTCGACTGTAATTTAAATAGTTCAAAGTTAAAAGGCTTCCACTCAAAAGAGGAGGCCATACAAATTATGCTAAATCTATTTATAAGGCTGACAAAGACAGCAAAGTCCAACCATGTTTCAAATGGCAGACAGGAAACCCTAGACCATTATATCCAACTGCACATACTTCATTATAATCAATACCATAGAAATATATTAGCAATCATTTACGCCTTTTTCAAGTGCCGAATAATTGCATCAAGTACACCACTAGAGCATTGTATCCAACTGCACAAACTTCATTATAATCAATACCAGAGAAATATATTAGCAACCACTTACGCCTTTTTCAAGTGCCGAAGAATTGCATCAAGTACACCATCAATTCTTATGAGTTCTGTCGCAGCTTTAGGATCTGGTCCCTACATCCAAAGACACTGAATTTATATCGTAAATGAGTTTTAAAAAGACAAATATAGAGAAAATAGTGAACTAATCCACGATATAATACATAATCAGATACAACATATCATCAATAGCTATATCAAATTAACTTACAAAAAGAGAGTCGCTCTAAAAAAAGTTCAGCATTATTGATATGTAGAAATTAGACACACTAAAACAAATCAAGCACGCGACCAAACTGAAAAAGTCGCAAATGTTATATTATTTGCGACCAAAAATGAATTGGTTGTAAAATATAAAGAATTTGCGACCAAAGTAACTTTCAGTCGCAAATGATTTGCACCCCAAGTATTTCTCTCCTTATTTTGGTTCCGCAAGGGTATTAACAACCAAAATAATTTTTGGACACATTCTTCGTTTTTGCAACTAGTATTGTTTGGTATGAAAATTATCAAAAAGAGGTGAATATTCCCACAAACGATACCGTTCTTGTTTCTTTAAATTTAGCTGGGGAAAAAACGCGCTCGATGAATTTTTGAGCATGCTTTTTCCTAGATAAATTTCAAGAAACAAGAACGGTGTCGTTTGTGAGAATAGCGCGTGCTCAATGAATTTTTGAGCGTGCTTTTTCCTGGCTAAATTTCAAGAAACAAGAACGGTGTCGTTTGTGAGAATATTCACCTTTTTTTAATAAGGGCGCGTTTTTTCCCCAGCTAAATTTCAAGAAACAAGAACGGTGTCTTTTGCGGGGATGTTCACCTCTTTTTAATAATTTTCATTTTTGCGATCAAACAATACTGGTCAAAAAAACAAAGAATTTGCATCCAAAAATTACTTTGGCTGTTAATACCCTGGCAAGAAATTTTCCCTCCAAAATAAAGAGGGAAATACATGGCAGCAAATCATATGCGACCAAAAGTTACTTCGGCCACAAATGCCTTATATTTTACCACCAATCCACTTTTGCGACTTTTTCAGTTTGGTCGCAAAATGCCTGATTTGTTGTATTACGAGTTCAAATATATGAATCTACTTTGTTTCAGTTCTGAGCAAATGGAGGTGTCAATATATGATTTATGATGGTTGCAAGTAACACAACTCATTTCTCTAGGCCTGGTACAGGCTTTGGGAAAGATACAACAAAACATTCGTGAAATTTTATGAGAGATAACTGACATAAAGTACAATGGTTATGATTCAAAGAACAAAAACCAAACAATAAGGTTGAGATACAGAATCCCTAGTGAAGCAAGTATCTAGAGATTAAATGGATAACATATATGAATATCAGCATATAGTTAGTAGATGATTAGGAAGAATGGTAAAAATTGCAACTTTTACAGATAGGCACTATCAGGTGATATATATAAAGTACAAAGAACATATAGTGTAAACTAATAAAGCCTATTTCAATCAATGGCTGCAACCATGTAAGATAGCACTCTCCACTTCATTTTTGTTTGCATTTCACTAGTGAACAGATAACGGTGGATGATGAAAAAAAATACAAGACTCAGACATTTACTAGACAAAATTACAATGCAATAATGGAGCATGTAAACTTGGTAAAATCGTATCCATGACCCCCAAGCGTGACGATTGATTTTGCTGGGTCAACTACTCTACTTTTATCCACGGAGAAATGTATAAGCTCAAGCCCAGCTTGACCCTATTAGATATATAATCAGATACACAGAGAAGTAAATAAAATACTATACAAGCAGTACACAAATACCCAAGCCCATTACCACACACGGGAAGAAGTCAAAATCAGGCCAACATATCCAAGGCGGGCAGAACTTTTAGCTTAAAACAAGCCCCACTATAAAACAGGCAGGTGGGGCAAAAGACTGAGACCCGTGACAAGAAAATATCAGAACAAGTTAAACAATTCAAATTTATACAACAAATGAGAAAGAAAGCATTCTCTGACATAATAATAACAATAACAGGCTAACAGTAACAACACTAGTTCTAACAGTAATAAGTAGTACAAAACCTTGATTAGGTTTGACAACACCCAAGCAGCCGTTCTCACAGTTGAACCCTTGTTTGGCAGCATCATTCTTGCAAGAGGTATTAAGGCTCCTTGAGATAGCAAAACACTTCTCAGCTCCTCTCCTTCACCAGCAACATTTCCCAGTGCCCATGCACACTGCTCAGCAACAGGCAAGGAACTCTTTTCTACACAAAAAGTAAAATCAAAACATTGGACCAGAGCGTATTCTACAACAGTTTCAATCAAAATTTCTGATGATGAGCAGAAGGGATGACGAAACCATATATGATTTGAGCAGATAATGATAAAGCCAGACTACAGACATGAAGGAAAGGGAATACATTTCCCTAAGACAAAACATGGAATCTTAAATTGATATAGAAAGCAAACATCATTGCACTTCACTCCTTTATCTTTTTCCCCATTGGATAAATTCAGAAATATGATATTAACACAGATAGAAGAACCCTAGAGAATTGTAAATTGAAACAAAATATACAGAAGCATACATAGAGATACAGGAGAAAAAGAAATTAGTGTCATTTTAAGTAATCTAAAAGGACTAAAGAAGACTGTCCCACTCGCAGCATGGTTCTTTAGGCTCAGAGGTGGTGCCAGGATTCAAGATCCACTATATGGTTAGTTAATCCTTGATCTATCCGGCCAAAATTAAAAAGTTCCAAGCTTCATTTCAATCTAATCTTCATGGGAAAAAAAGGTATCTTCGCAAATCAAGTTAATCCACTTCCACAAATGAAAGAGGAGTTCGAGACAAAGTGCCCAAAGGGGAGAGGGAAAACAAAATGAAAGAGAGAGGCTTACCTAGAATATCCTAAAAAAATTAAAATTAGTAATACACATAATTTTGTATATACCATGCTTATATCTACCATGGGCCTTAAAATTACTTGTTACATGGACTTATTCATGAGCCTGTAAGAGCCGCGCTAGAGCAAGCTCAACCTCAATTCCTTCAAATGAGCCAGAACAATGAGCTCAAACTCGACTCTTTTACGTAATAATAAACACGACTGCAGCCCAAGCCGTCAATGTCATTTGCAGCCCTATTTGCCATTACAACAAGCAATGGATTCTGTATAGCATTTCATAATCAGCTAAATGTAATTGAGAATGGACTGACCAATTAGTCCTGAGTACACAAGCCCAACCCATTTCAAACACAGCCCAATTATAGATGTGTTTGAGTTAATGCTAAACACAACAAAACTATAGAGCAAGATAGTTGACTAATCTACATTATATGTTCTTAGTACCTTGTGTCAAACCCAATGATATTAGCATCCCCCAAAATCACCATTCACCAGTTAATGGTGAAAGAAGCACAATCATGAAAAAAATTTCCATTCATGAATATAAACAAGAAAATGCAAATGCCATCACCAACCTCCAAGATGAGCAATAAGCAATGGCAAAGCAGGCAACAGAGCTTTTGTTTCTTCTGGTTTTCCTGCTGCTATGTTCGTAAGGCACCAAGCTGCCTCAAGCAACTGCAGTGTGCAAAATTCAAAAAATAATAATAATCATCTGAAACCCTTTTTGTAGGTATAAATAACAATCAGAAAAATTCCTGCATGATCCATAAACAGTCTACTATTTCTAAGAATATCACAGAGTCGGATCCAAATAAATGCATTCTAGTTGCAAAGCAAACTGAGTATGATAGACCACTAGATAACCATAGAACATCAGATCAAAATCGATCAGAAACTGATAGGGGATGAGATTAGCATGTCTCCTTGTTCCCTTCTTTCCCGCTTTATCAATGGTGAAAAAATAATAATAATAATTAGCAATCCACACATTGTCTAGAGAGAAATGCTTGAGTGCATATGAGGAATATTAAAGAGTCAAAATCACGGATTGAAGGAAATATAACAAGTTCTACCTCTTCCTCCGGGGATCCAAATGAAATACACTGCACAAGGAGAGGTATTGCTCCAGTTCTGAGCGCAGCTTCAACAGGAGGGAATTCTGATCTCGACAATAATCGCCTTAATTCACGGAGGGCATTCACCCTTTTCTGCATTGCACCTTTCCCCCTAACAGTTACAAAAATAAAAAACCTCAAGTCATTTCAAATGAAAAATTAGACAGGAGACTGCCTGAAAAAGAATTATGCATCAAGTTTCCAGGACTATAAATGATTTACACTGCAGGATGCATTAAATAATGATTCGAAATGACCTAAAGACATATACAATCTATAAATAATGCAACAATTCTCATTGATAATGCAACCTTTTTTGAAATGGAGAAATCAATTCCAAGAAGCCTGCTCCTAAAATAATGAAAAGACCACGAAAAGTCACAGGGGGGTCCATTCCGGGAAGCGTCTCCCATCATCTGGAGTGCTCAGAATTCAGTATGTAACTATATATATATATATACATACATACATATATATATATATATATATATATATATATATTAATGAACAATGCTTCCAAAACGTTGGTAAATATTTATAATTAAAGGTCTTCGTACATTTTAATAATATTTCAATTCATTCAAATGCAAACCCTCTTGTTGTTTTCAAATAAGCTCCAATGTGTTCATATATTGCATATCACATATTATTGACAGGTTATGGTCCACCGACATTTCTCCTGAGCCCATTCTTTCTTTTAAATAGCAAGTAGTAATTACCACTCATCTCACCTAAAATGCTAAACCATTTAATAATTTGAATTAAGCATCCACCGAATAAGGAGAATATAAAAACTTATACGCGAAGCTTGGACCCTGCCAAATGCTTGATCTTAGGTATGCACGTAGACAAAGGACATAACCTAATTTACTGACTTAGCTTATAAAAGCAGAAGACTACAGATAAGTATTAAAGAGTAACTAACCAGGGCAAAACACATATTATGACATATCAACATTCAGTTTATTATTTTCCAATATGCAAAGCTAAAACTCCTCTAGAATATAGTATTGAAAAATCTATAACTAGCATACTGATAGGCGACAGCAAGCTTTAATTCTTCCACGGCTGAAGTGGTCTGAGCCTCCAAAATTGATTGTTCTTCATCAATCATCATTTCACTGTCAAGAGGAACATCATCATCACCACTAATTCCCACTCTACATAGCCGCTTGGTTCGCACCAACGCTTCTCTTCTTTCTTTTCCCACCGTAACTGCATGTTGTCGTCTCCTATGGGCCGCAACATTCCCAACTGGAGACAAAGTACAAAATCAGCATTTCAAAGTAGAAAGAGAGAAGACTCAATAGTAAGAGATGAAGAAGAGATTTACAAGAACCTTTCGGCCGTAAAGGAGTAGCCATTTATTCACAAACAGACATGACACGGTTTTAAAATATATGATGAATTCAAGAATCCCTTCACAAGTCCATCTCCACTCACTATTGATCTTCTTGAGTTACAATATCAAATTAAAAGTCCATTTGGTTGCCCAAAAAAAAAACTAACTGACAAAATTCTCCACTCGATTGAAACTAAAAAAATAGTTAGTCTAAAATGAGATAAAATTTCTTTTTCAGAAAATAACTTAAAATTTTATTTGAACTACAAAAGAAATCAAATATTCACAGAAAACAAAAGGAAAATGTTATGATTTAATAAAAGCATGAAATACCTTGAACCAATCACCAGAACAGATAAATGAATTCAATGCATAATAATATATAGATGTCACCTAAAGAAACCCTATAAGTTCACATTCTAACGTTACCAATAAAGATTGTAGAAAATTCCATGGCCGACAAAGAAATCTCGATTGTGAATATACGTATTACAGAGAGAGGGAGAGAGTACCTGAAGACTTTATAGAGTCTCTTCTCTGCGAAGCCGGACTTTCATCCGCCATTATTCACTATCAAAAAAAGCTCCAAAACTCTCACAGTGCGCTTTCGGGCAATAGGTCGAACTGACAAATGTGAATATACTTTGACGAGAAAATTAATTGAAACAAATGCGACAACTCTCTCTTTGCTTGCTAATCTGTATTTTCTATTAAGGTAGTAAAAATAAATAATTAAAAAAAATGTACTTCACTTTAAAAAATAAAATAAACGCGCTACTCACGCCGATTCGGAGTTGGTCGAGAACTAGAAAAAAACGCTGCGGACTCCACACGACTGTAGGGTCCACAGGCCCTTGTTTCTTGTCGGTCAAGTCGAATGGGTTCGCTATTATTTTTTATTATTATTATTTACTTTTTTATTTTTTTATTCTTTTGGCCAAGGTTGCTCTTGTAATTTTCTGGTTATCGTGATTTATTGGTGAGGGGTGCAATTTATAACTTTTATATTAGATGTTCTGATGTCCGTTCATCATTAATTCAAAATTTTCAATAATTTTTTTTTTTTTTCAAAATTTTCAATAATAAATTTCACCAATTTTACATACAAGTAAAAAATGGGATAAAATTTACCATTATAATAGTGAAATTCAAATTAATTTATGTTGTGTTTGATTGCATAATTAATGTCTTAAAATTGAAATTAAAAAATAAAAATAAAAAATTAGTTCAAACGAATATAGCATCAGTGAAGTTGCACTGTAACATGTAAAAAAAATGCAAGGACGAAAAAATAATAATAATAATAATTAAAGAGAATTTTGATTCTCACATATGATTGTCCTCATTGTGCAATCAAACTTTCAAGGTCCCATCTTAGCTACTCAAGTCCATTACGAATTTCAGACCTTCTTGGTTAAACAAAGAAATTGGTTGACTATGCTTATTAGTGAATATCAACGCAGCAGATACTGAGATTCCTTTATCTTATATTTATTTATTCAATAAATTAATTTAATTTGATCATACAGATTTAATAACAAATTGAGCTCATACATATCTGCATCTAAAATTTTTATTTTTTTGTGCGTTTGTCAACATTTTCATTTAAGAGTTTATTTTAATCTTACAAAATATATGTTCCATTTTAAATATGTAAGTTTAATTAACATACACAGTGTCTCATCAATAGCTCATTAGTGTAATACATAACCTCTCATCGTTCAAGAGGTGATAATAAAGTTCGAGTCTCCTGTTTTTGTTTTTTTTCAAAAAAGAAACTATTGCAAAATGAAAAATTCTAGAGTATTCTCTGTACCAAAACCACAATTCTTTCCGTCATTATATATGATGTTAATGTTGGGATTTATATATGTTAGCATAACGAATTCCTAATCGAATTAAAATAACATATGTTCCTAAAATATATGAAATATTTATGCTTTATAAAATTAGTGAATTTAATGTACTATGTTTCGATTAATTATGAAAATGATATTATCCACTTGATTACAAGAGATATTTATATATGTATATGATAGCGATCAAGACATAAACATAAATAGTAATCATAAATAGTTCATAGTCGATAATTATGGATGGACTCATTATTAACTAAGACTTGAATTGGATCCGCGTTAAATTGAGATACTCCCTCCGTCCTTTATTAGTAGTCCATTTTTCTCTTTTTACCTATCCCATATTAGTTGTCCTATTTGAAAAGTCAAAGCATCTTTTCTTTATATTTTCATGATTGTCATTTATCTTTTAAAAAAATTTCAAAATTTATAACTATATATATTTAAATTAAAAAGGAAAATTTGATCATTTTAAAAAGGGACAATGCATTAATTGCATGTCCCCTTAAAAAGTTATAAAACAAAAAATGAACAACTAATAAGAGACAAAAGTAGTATATTGTAAGAGCCGTTGTATACAATTGCTCCCTATCACTGTCATGACATTTGACTTTTAAGCATGAGAGAGGTGTAGACTCTTTTATTAATTAGTAATTACTTTAATTTGTATGGCGAAATTTTCGGAATTCATAAACCGGCACTTTGGGTAATTATGTCATTAATAATTAGAGGATTATATTTTCAATATTTGCATCATTGCTACTTGTATTTATTTTGTATTGATTATGATTGATCACAAAGTAAATTCGAAGGTCTCGTGTGTTTTTAGACAAAATGATTTTTTATATATTTATTTATTTAAATTATTAATTTTGTCAAATAAATGTTTTATTCTGATCAAGCCAAAAATAATCAAATCTACCAAAATAAATATATTAATTTAGTAGTCAGATTGATGGCTTTATATATCCGATAGCTAATTATATATATAGGGGTCAAAATGTAACATTGACTTGGAGGTTATTTATTATTTAATTAGAATTCAATTAATTTATTTTAGTACAGTATAAATTAATTTATAAATTAATTGAATTGAGTTCATAGTATAATGAATAGGACCAATTATTAATTTATTATAGTTAACAAAATAATAAGCTCAAAGAATTTTTACTCATAACCCATCTTGATATTAGAGACCTGCTTGATTTGAAATATCACCAAAACTCATTCTCTTATAGTGTGCCTAGGGAACCCCATGCTATTATGGCTGAGTCTTTAGAATAATAGATTTTTGCCAAAGAGAAATGCTTGCATCTTGTGCAGTGATGATGACGTGGCCACACTCCCTGCTGACACCTGTCCAACATTAAAAAATATTAAAACATGGGTTGTATCAATTTGTGCGGGTTAAACCCATTTCTCCTTTATCCCCCTTCTCTCTCTGAATACCTAAAACTATATGTGCCGCAACAGACCCATTTTCATAAACCATATGATCTTGAGAGAAATTCAACGAAGTGGGTGGTTTTATAGTAAAAAACAAAGCCGCCATTTGTGATCGAGCTCCAAATGAATGGTTGAACCCTGTTATTCCAATCTGCAAATTCTGTCAAATATAGGGCAGTAATGTCAAACCAGTGATTGTGGAAAAGAAGAGAGAGATCAGTTGGCTGTTCTTGCTTCTGGATTAAATGATTGGGTGTTTTAATCTTACACATTTGAAGTATTTCTGCAAACACACCAACAATCATCGATCAGGTGCCAAAGATCGAGTTATTTATCTCACTTATCTTGGACTCTGCAAACAGCTTCAACCCGATGGCCCTTTTGATCCTTATTGATCCAAGGTTCATCATATATTTTTAAGGAATTAATAATTGTTGGTTTCAAGTTTCAAGTTTATAGGTATATATAGATCTGAATTGGGGAAATAGCATAGAAGATTTATCATGCTTCAGCGATTCATGCTCTTGGGTTGGGATCTGATGTGCACTAAAATGAAAAAATGCCATTACTAATAATAATAATAATTATAAAAAAAAACTATCAGCACCGAATTGGAACTGGATCGGAGCCCTAACGCCTTCTTGACCTTGGAAGCAGCAATGGAAGTGAGCGATCGCTGCATTGACGGTGAGTTGACGGCGAGCTGGACAACGACGACAACGACGGGGATGGGGATCGGTCGGAGTTGAAGGAATTGGTAGGAATGTAGGTGAGAGGCTTCCTGGTGGAGGTGCGGCAAGCGGCAACGAAGATCTCGTAGGTGGTGTCGTGGAGGTCGGTGGCGGAGAGAGTGGGCGCGAGGTCACCAAATGGGGAGGGGAGAACGAAGGTGGTGGCGGCGGCGGCGGCAGTGAGGCTGAAGCGGGCGCTGGTTTTTCTGGGCATGCTCTCTCTCTCTTGGATTGGCGGAAGAGAGAGAGAGAACATATTAGTGCCAAGGAGAAACGGGTTAAACCCCTACAAATGAGTACTACCCATATTTTAAATTTTTTTTGTGTTGAATAGGTGTCAGTAGAAAGTGTGGCCACGTCAGCAGGGAGGATGAACTTCATCCTCTTTGCCAAATCATCTTTGCTTGACCTATAGAGGCAGAGGATTTCTCAAAGCGAGATCCTGCCTAAAAAGTGAAGTGGAGTTGTAACTGAAGGCTGTTACAAGAATGGTATATTCCAAAGCATTCGTTTATGAAAGAATTTAAAGTATATTATTTTTATTTTGTCTATATATATATATATATGAGATCCATGTATTACGTAATAATTTTTTTAGAAGATAAGAAAAAAATTTCTCTCTAAAATTTTAGGATTAGTATTATCATCAGGGTTAATGTTCTCATTTGATGAAGGCTCTTACAAATTAAACTCTTCAATGTCATTTATGCAAGCTTATTGGTGATTTATATAGGCAAGATCATTATAAAAAAGATGGAGATCTAAGGAAGAGACATCTAACAAAGAGATCTACAATAAGTAAGAACATTCACTTTAGAGGAGAGATTTAAGATTTACTAAGTTTTATATCCTTAAATTGAATGGGTTATCACATTCTTCATGCATAAAACTTGTCTCTGCACATGAATCAAAATATTTATTTGAAAATCCCTCCGACAATTAAAACTCACTCGGGTAATTCAATGATTAAGAAACCCTAGGGTACCCGTATATTGTATAAAACTTCCAATCCCATATGAGGCGGAACCCACCCAGCCCGTTAGCTTAAGCCCATGAAAATCCCAAGTGCTCTCAACACGTGTATATATTTGTGTGTAACTCTTACGATATGTTCTCCACTTTCAAACGCAATGGAGATGGCCTTTGCAATTCGCCTATTCTTGTTTTAATATTTATGGTCGGTTTGGTATGCGTATTTTTATGTTAATTTGAAATAAAATAAATATTTTGAATAATAATTGAAAATATGATAACATCCATTTATTATAAATTTTTGAAAAAAAATTATAAAAAAAGAGTTATAAGTTTAAAAAATATAATAATTAATTAAAAAAATCATTTAAGAATTTTTTTTAAAATTATTATTAATCGTCGCACCTACAAATATTGAAGTATGTAAAAATATAAAATTAATGTTTCGTTTTGATAGTCACTATTCACAAGACGTATGTATATTACTTTATACTTATTACTTAGATATCCCATAAAAACAAAAACATACTGTAAAAAACAATATGTTACCAACCAGATCCTTGTGGAATCGAGCACAAATTAAAGGCTTACTTGTGTCAATTGGCACGCGTTACTCAAATCGGACACGGAAACTTTCTCCTGCAATGTTTGAGTATCAACTATCAACGGTTTATAGAGAGAGAAAGTAAGAAAACTACAAAAATTAAAGTTATTTTCTTCATATATTCTCCACACACGCACAGTTTTTCCGTTCATTCATTCATATTCCATTCCACTTCACACACTCAGATATATACCTACAGTATTTTGGCATTTTAGGTCTTTACAGAGCAGATCTGACCTTGCTTCATGTTCTTATTCAATCTCTGATCACAAAACGCCCATTTCCGCTGAAAAACCCTAACCCAGATTCATCGATCATCACCATGACTCATCCTCCTCTCAAAGCCGTGACTCTGACACACGTTCGCTACCAAAAGGGTGATCACTTTGGCCATTTCTTGGCATGGGTGTCGCTAGTCCCTGTCTTCATCAGTCTTGGTGGGTTCGTCTCTCACTTCATGTTTCGCCGAGAACTCCAAGGCATGTTCTTCGCTCTTGGTCTAATTTTTTCTCAATTCGTCAATGAATTCATCAAGACATCAGTCCAACAAGCTCGTCCCGAAACGTGTGCCCTTCTTGAAATGTGCGATTCGCACGGGTGGCCTTCCAGCCACTCTCAGTACATGTTCTTTTTCGCCATGTACTTCACTCTTTTAACCTACAAAAAAATTGGGAATTTGATTAGAAAACAGATGTGGTTTGCGGGTCTTGTTGTTTGGCCTATGGCACTGCTCACCATGTACTCTAGGGTTTATTTAGGGTACCACTCTGTTGCACAGGTATTCGCTGGTGCTGTCCTGGGACTTGTTCTTGGGGCTCTATGGTTTTGGGTGATCAATTCTGTGCTGATACGTTACTTTCCAGTTATTGAAGATAGTTCATTTGGGAGATTGTTGTATGTGAAAGATACTTCACACATACCCAACGTGTTGAAATTTGAATATGATAATGCAAGAGCTGCTCGGAAACATGTGTCTTACAAGCGAGCTGAATGATGAAGGACCAATTGGGTAAGCTGGTTTTCAAGATTTCCCTGTCTAAATTAGCTGCACTATGTAGTTAATTGAAATATGTTAGTATAAGATGTTGCTTGATTTTCTTCGGGTTCTAATTCCACAAGTTGAACAACGTCTTTAGCACAGTTTGATGTCACAGGGTTCTTTTAGCATTTGACCTTGCAATTATACTTATTACATGATAGTCGGCTTATGCTATATAATTTTATATGATGTGGCCATGCAATTATACTTTTAGTGTGGTTTTTGGACAGTTTTTTAATCACAATTTGAGAGCTAAATGTATTTCTACTGTGTTTTGTTCAATTAACGCAAGGGAAATGTGCAATGTATGCCTATCTACTTTAAGTAACTTGTGTCTCCACTAACTTCTTAGGTGTTTTGTGAAATTTTAAGGAGCTTGTGTTAGAAAAATTCTTCACAGTTTTCTTAGATTTTTAGCCGTGGCCCCAGTATGGTAGGAAGGAAAAGTTTTAGCATTAAATTCTGCACTTAGATCATAGATGTATTAAGAGGTACTGCATTTTGTCGAGTTCATGGAGTATTGATGCAAGACAAGATATTTGGGCGTGTCAAATATAATTGCTTGACACACATACAGACACATATATGTAATACTGAGGGTAAGGGGAAGGGAAGACCAAAACTAACATGGGCTGAGATGGTAATAAAAGATATGATGGCATGTAGTTTAGCTGAAGTTATGTGTGGGAAACATGATTGATGCAACCAACCAAAATAGTTGGGGGAAGGCTTTGTTGAGTTGATTTAATATATTTTTATTTATCTCATGATATTAGTTTTTAGAGTACAAGGTACAATTTATTTATTTTTTTAAAAAAGCAAGTTTCAGTCTTTTTAGTTTTTATTGTCAAATTGGACTCGTAAAATATTACTAATTTATATAGCATAGGGTGTTGTTCAGAAGGTATTATACTTTTTAAAGTTTTCTAGTGCCCAGTAAATTTCAAGCACCGGGAAAATGAAAATTAATGAAAATTTTATTTTGATACAATTGAAAGTTTTGGCTTCCTTTTGTTTATGTGGATTTAAGGTTCTTTGTGTCCATGGTGGATCCTTTAGATTGAAGATGGTGAATCTTATTCTATCTTATTTATTCTACATCAAGAGTGCATGGCTTGGTGTTAGAAAAACTATCCACTGCTTCTATTGTATAGAAACTTTGGTATACTTTTTCAATTGCCCTTTTTAGCTATTTGTTTGTTATTCTTTTTTTCTCATTGTTATTTGCTGAAAGGAGTTCTTTGTTGATTATCTATCAGTTAATTTATCTTGTTGTCGCAGTATGTTTGGGGGGTTTGAAAATGCTAAGTGTTAGAACCCAACTGGATAGGAAGGGGAGAAAATAAAGTATATGATGAACTTGAAAACACAATGCATAAGAAAAATGAAAACAGTGAATTGCATTTTACAGATGAAAAAACCACTAAAGCACAAGGAGACACTAATAAATGACTTAGTGTGAATCTGATTCTACTTATAGAGATCATAGTCATATCATTTGGATTATTCTGGACGAGTTCTAACTATATATTCATTATGCTATACTTGAAATAGAATTTTTTATCATCTTAAAAAATTAGTGTGAATCTGATTCTACTTATAGCACAAGGAGCCACTAATAAATGACTTAGTGTGAATCTGATTCTACTTATAGAGATCAGAGTCATATCACTTGGATTATTCTGGACGAGTTCTAACTATATATTCATTATGCTATGCTTGAAATAGAAATTTTATCATCATGTATGTCCAACTTATATCCTGTATGCCATTATGCTTTACAGTTGAAGTTTTGGGTTTGTATACACGTTCTGTTGAGGAGGTTTTTCCAAATGAGTTTGTGTATACTTTTCTAATTGACTCTTGCGGCCCTGCCCCATCCTCTCAAAGGGGGAGAAAAACAAAGAAATAAAATAAAAGAAACGAGCGAAAGATAAAAGAAACGTGTTAACGGGTCAACCTATAAGTGATGAACATTTCACTATAAGTAGAATCAGATAAACGGCTTTGTGCTGCCTTTTCTTGGTGGAGCGTGGAGTCAATCATTTTCCTCTACCTACAGAAAAAGCTGAAAAGGTAAACTTTTTGGTATATTTGCTGTTAAAAGATTCAGTAATCTTTATCTGAGGTCAAATCAATTTATCTTTTTAGCTTTTCTGGCGGCCACCTATTAGGAAACTCTTGGATTTTCATTTACTCTTTGCACCTCCCTTGGGGCCTGGAGGATTAATTATTTGTGGACCAAATTCATTTATTTGAACGCACACGTTCGCGTGTCTCATTATTACAGAGTTGGTGATAACACCGAAGCACACATAAGATATTTTAATCAAGTATTAAAGTGTCTGGTTGGAGTGGTTTCTATCTCTATTTTTACATGAGCAGTCTGGGAAGTTTAATATATCTAAATTTACTTGTCTACATTTCCAATGAACAACTGAAATACCTGGTGATTGTTGAGGAATAACATCCAAAATTGAGCTAAGTTATTGTAGAGCCAGTTTGGGATTACTGTTGAAACTTGAAACCACTTAAAAGTTAAAAGCGCTTTTTATTTTAAAAGTAGATGTGTTCGGTAATCAAAAAATTCACTTTTAAATGGTAGAGATTTTAGCCCACAAGAGCTTTTAAATGAAGCTAAAATTTTTAGCTTTTGAAGCTGCGTTCTAAGTAGAGGTTCTATATATTAGGTAACTGTTTCTCCTTGAAACAATTTTATCCCTTTTTATTTTCTATAAAGACAATTTTGTCCTTCTTTTATAAAGTCCTACTATAAAATATAAGTACACTATATTAAAGGGCATTATTTTAAAAATTAGGAATAGAAGTGCTTTAAACAATATTGTTATCAAACAAATTAAAATGTATTTTAATTATGAAAAGTTCTTTATACAATGCATCACCAAACTAATATGTTTTTTACTGACAGCATTTCTACTTCAACTTTACTGATAAAAACACTTTTTTATTTTATTTTATTATTATTTTAGTTTATTACAACAATAACGCCAAAGGGGCCTGATTCTTTCCTTGGAAAAAACTTGTCGGTCCTCCTATATGTCATGTTATTCGCTTTGTTTTCTTATTTTTTCCACCATATATTTCTTCCTACACTATTAAGTCCCTTTTTTTTCGTTATTAGTTTATTATATTTTAAGTTTTATTTTTTTTAGACCAAAATGGTAAAAATAGGATTTATGTAGCCGAAATCAAGTAGTTGGAAAAAGGTTTTGTTGATTTAATTTATTAAATTCTTATCTTTTATTTTATTTTATTTTTTATTTTTAATGTCTAAACATGGACAGGCAAGTTAAGTTAGGTGATCTTGATTTCTTCTTCAATGCTATAATTTGTACAGTTTGCTTCTTGACATGTTCATTTTGGTGGATTTGGTCGTTTAATCTTCTGCTGGATGGGAGGTGGCTTTATGATTCTTACTAGGTATTACAGTTTTTCTTTTTGTCACATGGTCTATGGTAGCTGTTGTTGTCATGCTTATTTTGCCTTTTATACAGTCCCAAACTTGGAAAAGGGCTGTGGCAGGGGCATACATCTGATGCATGTTCTGTTTCTCACCACTATGCTGTTGTGTATGGTCATTTGCTTGAGTCAGCCTGTGTTTTGATCTTGACATTTTGTAGTATTTTACTTTCATCAAGTCCAGCTCATTCTTTTTAGTGATCAGGTTCTGTTCTGGCACTCTGGCCTTTGTTATGGCAGAAGGGAAGGGGGAGAATAAAATAGGAAAGAGTTGGATGTATGGCCATGTGTTTACTGAATGCTGATTGACTATCTGATTGATGATTAGCAGAGGAAATTTTCAGAAGACAGCTGGAAGGCAAATTGTGTTCCATTTAGTGAAATGCTGGCAGATGAGAAACATGTTATAGAAAATGTTGGCATTGAGTTAAAAAGGATGTTAATAAAGATATATGGAATACTTTTGTGAGAAGTTACAGATAGCAATTTTAAGGACAATATGAGAGAGTTTGCTAGATTTCACTCTTTTATAACTAAGATTAGTGAATAGAAACGAATACACTTGGGAAAAGTCATAGACAGCACTAAGTAAGGTCAAGATGGAGAATGCTACAAGGACAGGAAAATGCGAAGGACAAAAGTCCAAATTATGTTAGCTGCTCGTTCAATGTGTGGTGGTGACTCCAATATTGCTTAGGACTCTGTTGAAAGAATGAATTTCTGCTTTAGAATTCTAATCTTACCAAAAGAAAACATATTTGTAATGTTGGGTCGCCAGATATACTTCCAATCAACTTTGAGTTCAGATAAAAAAATGGGCATTTGCTTTAGCAAATAACTTTTTCCTAAAAATTTGTTGTTGAAGAAAGATCTATTTGACGTCAGTCTCTCCCTCTGCTTTTATATTTGTGAGTCGAGAGTACCTATATGGTATTTCTTGCTTTGGCTACAGTGCTTCATTACTTCATGATTGTACAAAGTAAAAAAGACAGGATTAATTTAACATGCATTGTCTTGAAACACTTCCATTGTTCGCTCTCTTTTTCAGAGAGACGCGCACACTCACTTTTAACAGTGTTGCTGCCAGACAGCTTGCACAAAACATTCATGCATGCTTGCATTGACTGACAGAACATGAAGCTATTTTATGAGTGAAACTGGAGGAAGTTTTTGCTATTTCATATTACTTCCATCATTTGAAGTGCTCTCGTTTTCTTTTTAACAGGTGTGTTGCTGCAAATTCGTGAACGAGGATGTTACTTTTGCCTGCACGAGAAGATACATTCAAATAAATGCTATTCTTGTCTGAATCACTATGTTTAGTAAAAATGTGGATGTGGTTGGAAGGACTGGGACTAGAATTCAGGCAGCTTTTTTTATTTTTTTAAAAAAAATCATATTAGTTTAGGAGATACGACACTATACTTTAATATTGAAGGAGCAGTTAGTGATGGCCAAAATCATTAGATGCTCAATGTAGAAACTTCTATATTTTACTTTGCTTTTCTATCACTTGGATGTGTTTCTTATGGCATTTAAAATTGTGTTTCTACATTAACTGTTTGATGGGTGGTGTTAATGCTATGTTGTTATTGCCTCCATACACACACTGTGCCAAAGGAATTAAGCTTGGTGTGATTATAAAACCTGCGAAATGTGATACAGCTAAATTCTTGCCTTAATATCAATTTCGACTGTGTCCAAGTTGAAAGTAGTATTTATATTAAATCCTTGGACTAGGTAAATGTTTGTATACTTGTGACTGTAGGGGTTGGCGTTTATTGGACAAATCCATCACTCATATGTGCGAAGATGGTAGTAAGCTTCCATATAATTATCACTGGTGGAATATGAAATCATTGAAACAATAATCTGCTTTCAACCTATTTTAGTCTCATAGTAAAATTACTTGTCTATGCTTCTCCCTCCTACATGCATCATCAAAGAAGGTAAATGTGCAACTTGTGTTCATGGTCTCCCTCATCAAAGAAGGTAAATGTGGAACTTGTGTTCGTATGGAAGCGCCACCACCAGAGCTTATGGAAATGGATCAACTGGGAGCAGAATTTGGTGCACTAAATAAGCTTTTTTCCTTGAAGAAAGAAGATTGTATAAATTTGTGAGGTGAGTTATGTCTACGTTTGTTTATGCCCTTTTTCATTAAGCATAGTGTATTTTTGGAAGGTAAATCAAGCATCATATAGGCAACGGGCATTCAACTTCTATCTGGAATACATGCCAAAGTTAGCTCGTTAATCACTCAAGGATCATGGTCTTTCATTCCCTTACCCTTACCCTTATCCTTACCCTACCTAATTATATGTGATCAACTATATTCATAAACACTTAAATATAAAACACATGTGCCTCCAGTCAATCCACAAGCATTGGGATAAAAAACAACATGGAACTGAGACAGAATGTTCAACTCTACTAGAACACGGTCAAAAAAGGGGATTAAACAGAAGCCTAAACTCCCTTGATTATAGCATTTTATACAAATCAATTTATACAAATCGATCAATTAATACATCAAAATCAATCACATACTGTACTCTATACACAAACCTTAATACTGTAATTATTGGACTAAAAAACCCTAGTTTAATTTTGATGTTCATTAATAAACTCACTAGTAAAATCAAAATCAAAATCAAAATCAAGGTCGGTGAAGTCTAATTCTGGAATATCTTCAAAAAGATCGGACTCCATCAAATTAGACGAACAAGCACTCGCACTCGCACTGGCACTCGCCATGGCCATCTCGTCGGCTCGAGCCACCACGTTGTTCCTCAGCACTTCCAATGCAGTCTTGTAGTCCTCAAGCTCATTCAACCCTAGTTCATCAATCTCCACGTCCCACCAATTCCTTTCACACTCTTCCAACACTTTTTCTTCAGGAGGATTTTGGGAGAGGAAGCGGTTGAGGACGGCATCGACGGACGGGGTTCCAAAGGCATGAATCTTCTCTGCGGCAGGGCACTTGACGATCACGGCAACATTGGCACCGCACAAGGTGCTCAATTCAGCCGCTTTTTTGAACAGGCCGCCCCTGCGCTTGGAGAAGGAAGTCATTAAACGACTTTTCTTTTCTATTTTCCGGATTTCGATCTTACGGCGTCCCATACCTTTCTTCTTCGGCTGCTTCTCCATCACACATACAGTTTCACACACACAGTGCTTGCAATTGACGGACTGCTGATGGGGATGATGAGATTTGGTAGGAAAATTTACGAGGCGTAGGGTTTTGAAGTGAGGGTGAAGCCGGACCACCTGCTTTATAGACTGAGGGTGAACCGTTTTTTTTTGGGCAAATTACAATGACCTCCCCTGAGATTTGGCATAATTGCAACTAAACCTAAAGTTTGCCGAATTTTTGCAAAGACCTTCCCATTAGAATTTGGGTTTCAGGCTCAATATTATATTATTAAAAATGTTAAAATATTTGAGTATATCAAATGACTCTTTTACCCCCAATAATTGTTATACTTAATCAATATATATATATAAGATTTACCTAAATATATATATATATATATATATATATTTATTTATAAGAATATATATATACACATATAAATATTAGTAAAATACACGTGCGATGCACGTGATGAATGTTTTCTAACTTATATAATTTATATTTTTTAATTGTTTATAGTTTTATAAAAAAAAAAAAAAAAAAAAAAAATAGACAACATAGTTTCAGGCTCAGAATGTCTTAGAGAGTAATAATTGTTATCTCAAAAGAAACAAAATAAGATTTTTCATTAATGTATGAATAAAAACTATAAACATTTAAAAAATATATGAAAATTAAATTCTATACTTTACAAAATATTCATAAATAAATACTGTATAAAAATTTTATATATTATAAAATTCAAAAGGGTACGACCAATTTTTAGATTATAATAATTGTCATCTCAAAAGAAACAAAATATATTAGAAAATCTAAAACTGTAACGGTTTGAAAATAAAAGTATTCCTAAATTATTTATTTATCAATCTTTATCTTTTTTGCATATCTCATTTCTTCATGAAATGAATCATTGTCAAGTGTCAATTCTTTTAATTCTTCCACCGCAACATAAGTTTTCATGACTTGTTGTTGAGTATTGTTTATCTTCACCAGAAAAAAGAAAAGATTTTCCCTTGCAGCTTGTCACTTTGTTTCTGAATTCATCATATGTTGTAAAAAAAAAAACAAATATAATTAAGAGCTATTGAGAAATTCAAGTAAATATTTTATTTTTAATTTAATTAAAATTTTATGAATAAGGGTGAAAAATTAACTCAATTTATAATTGTAATAAATCATGTAGTGAACAATTTATTAATGTTTGGTAATCATTGAACACTGTTAGGGTTGCAATGAATTTTTTTAGATAATTTGTAATTTGAATTAAACACTTTAAATTAATTTTTTTAAATTTTATTAGGTAATTTGTAATTTGAATTAAGCTCCTTAAATAATTTTTAGGTAATTTTTTGTTTATAAAAACTTTTTTTTTTATATTAATAAAAAAATACTGAAACGTGTGTTTATTATTTCTTTAGGTCTATAGTTTTATAAGAGACTTTCATGCAATCCTTTTTACTTAAAACCAATGTGGAACAAGAAAAATGAATTTTATTAAGTAATTTGTAATTTTAATTAAACTCTTTAAATTAATTTTATATTAATAAAAAAATATTGAAAGCCAAAAGGCCAAGAAGGTAGTACTACATTTGATCTTAGCCAAAAGACCAAGAAAGTTTAGCCAAAAGGCCGACTCAAAAAAATTTAGTACTACACACTTGATATTAGCCAAAAGACCGAGAAATGTGTGATTATTATTTTTTTAGGTCTATAGTTTTTATAAGAGGCTTCTATGTAATCCTTTTTACTCAATACTAATGTGGGACAAGAAAATTGAATTTTATTAGGTAATTTGTAATTTGAATTAAACTCTTTAAATTTATTTTTATAAATTTTATTAGGTAATTTGTAATTTGAATTAAACTTTTAAATTAATTTTTAGGTAATTTTTTGTTTATAAAAACTCATATTTTATATTAATAAATAAATACTGAAATCCAAAAGGCTGAGAAAGTTGTACTACACTTAATCTTAGCCAAAAAATCAAGAAAGGTTAGTCAAAAGGCCGATCCAAAAAAATTTAGTACTACACTTGATCTTAGCCAAAAGGCCGAGAAATGTGTGATTATTATTTCTTTAGGTTTATAGTTTTATAACAGGCTTCCATGCAATCCTTTTTACTTATAACCAATGTGGGACAAGAAAAATAAATTTTTTTAGGTAATTTGTAATTTGAATTAAAATCTTTAAATTAATTTTTAAAAAAAATTTTATTAGGTAATTTGTAATTTGAATTAAGCTCTTTAAATAATTTTTAGGTAATTTTTTGTTTATAAAAACTCTTTTTTATATTAATAAATAAATACTGAAATACTAAAACACTTTACACATTTAATAATAGTATACACTTGATATTAACCAAAAGGTTGAGAAAGGTGTGTTTATTACTTCTTTAGGTCTATAGTTTTATAAGAGACTTCCATGTAATCATTTTTACTTAAAATCAATATGGGACAAGAAAAATGAATTTTATTAGAAAATTTGTAATTTTAATTAAACTCTTTAAATTAATTTTATATTAATAAAAAATACTGAAAACCAAAAGGCCAAGAAAGTAGTGCTACACTTGATCTTAGCCAAAATACCAAGAAAGGTTAGCCAAAAGGCCAACACAAAAAAATTTAGTATTACACTTGATCTTAGTCAAAAGTCTGAGAAAGGTGTGATTATTATTTCTTTAGGTCTATAGTTTTATAAGGGGCTTCTATGCAATCTTTTTTACTTAAAACCAACGTGGGACAAAAAAAAATGAATTTTATTAGGTAATTTGTAATTTTAATTAAACTCTTTAAATTAATTTTTTAAAAATTTTATTAGGTAATTTGAAATTTGTAATTTGAATCAAGCTTAAATAATTTTAGTACTACACTTGATCTTAACCAAAAGACCAAGAAAGGTTAGCCAAAAGGTCGACCCAAAAAAATTTAGTACTACACTTGATCTTAGCCAAAAGACTGAGAAAGGTGTGCTTATTATTCTTTAGATCTATAGTTTTACAAGAGGCTTCCATGTACTCATTTTTACTTAAAACCAATGAGGGAGAAAAAAAATGAATTTTATTTGGTAATTTGTAATTTTAATTAAACTCGTTAAATAAATTTTATATTAATAAAAAAATATTGAAAGCCAAAAGGTTAAGAAAGTAGTATTACACTTGATCTTAACCAAAACACCAAAAAAGGTTAGCCAAAAGGCCGATCCAAAAAATTTAGTAGTACACTTGATCTTAGCCAAAAGGCTGAGAAATGTGTGATTATTATCTCCTTAAGTCTATAGTTTTATAAGAGGCTTCCATGCAATCATTTTTACTTAAAACCAATGTGGGACAAGAAAAATGAATTTTATTAGGTAATTTGTAATTTTAATTAAACTCTTTAAATTAATTTTTTTAAATTTTATTAGGTAATTTGTAATTTGAA